CGACGTTTCAGTTACTTTGCAGCAACCGTGATCACGGGCAGACCAGATGATATTAATTAGGAAATTATATTTACGTGTAGACATTTCTTTTGGATGTTGGTTAAATAAATATTAAATAATGTTATTTTATTAAATTATTTGGGTCTAATAATAAGAACACTGAAAATATGTTCTTCATGAAGTAGCGAGGGATTCACAAAAAAATAATTAAGACTGTTTATATATCCATATATAAACAATTACTAAAATTTAAGAATATAATATAAAACTTGTTTAATCTATATAAATATAAATATTTTTTTATGTATATGTAGATGGGAGTGCCGGATTTAATTTCATTTAATCAGATAAAATGCAGCGCCTGACAAAACATTTGCAGCGAAGGTTATCAACGTGTGTTCTGCCCCCGTGATATCACATTGATATTGTTTTATAATTTTTATGACGCAATTTGTAATAACAAGATTGTGTCACGTTAATTTTTGTTTTGTTATAAAAATGCATTTTATCAATGGGTTCTCAAGTTTCCGATTAATAGATTTATTATGTGTATTTTTATGATCTAAGTAAGCAATGTTTCTGTAGTGTTTATAGCATGTAAAATAATAAAAGTATATGTTAAAAGTATGTAAATTGATTGAAAATAATTAATAAAAGATTTTACTTAAATAACAGTTTCAAATTTCCTGTATAAAAATATATGACCAATATACTGTTGCAGTATTTATATATCGGGTTACGTTGGCCACAAAAGTACTCTAAATTACATTTATTAATTAAAATTAAACTAAATGCCACTGACTAGTGTACGACCTACTATTATAAGCCTGTAAAATGCTATGGTTAGCCAAATTGTATACGTAGCATTCCATATATATGCATCATATAGGGAATTAATGAAAGATTAACTAAAAAGTTTTAGTTCACACAAAATCACTTCTGAGGCCTCGGCCTCGAATTTTGCGGGCAGCGGAGTGGCAGCGGGAGCGGCAGGATCTTACGCGTATAATCAAATGGACCGACCGACCCTCGAATACAGCGGTGCCCGCTACCCGCTAGTTTGGAGAACAGGTATGCGTTTCCGTGCCGCCGCCGCCGCTCGCTGCCCGCAAAATTCGAGGCCGAGGCCTTAAGGATTCATATCAGTTTATCAATGATATTAAATGTACAATATTGACAAACAATGATAGTTACGATCAAGGAACAGTCATTATTTAGTAGTTTACCCATTGTACTCTGCATTAAGATAGTAAAAAGAAAATGTTATTATTATATGCCTGCAATACAAAAGTTCATTAGCGTTGCCTTCCAAATGTTTAATTTATGTGAAAAGATCAATTCTAAATAAAAGTATATGGAGTTTTAATGGGTTCGCCGGTCTCCTGGTCGGTAATACATTCATAGAGGTCTTCGAGGCGACTTCAACTCTCCTACAATCAAACCCTTTAATGTCTAAAAAGTACGTATTTAACACCTTTACACCACCAGCTCTATAGAATAAGAGGCAAAATATTGTTTATCAGATAAACGTGCATCGAAAAATTAAAAAAAGATGTAATTTGAAGTCAGCAGTTGACAAGCTAAGGCTTTTTTTTATTACATCCGGTTTGTCAAAACACAGGTGCGTTAAGACAGGTTTATACCGCGATTAATCAACGAGGTTATTGAGTTAAAAAAACTTTTTTCAATAAAGAAGATGGCTGACGATCTTCTAACATATGGAAACTCCTCATCAAGACTAAAAGATTTTATAACCACACCCCCAGAACTCTTGATATAGTTAGCAAACTCCAAATTTATCCAGAGTAGTACGCGATATAATTCAAAAACGTGGATATAAATGACAAACAAGACTAACTGACAGACGCTGTCATCTCGTCTGCGAGTGATTTGATAACGATTGGTGTAAAGGTAGAATAATAGAATAATTCTGTCAACATTATAAAAATTTAATATTATTTTACCTAAATGTGTAGATATTTACGAAAACCTTAGACATCATTACTAAAGTCGGTTACAAAACGAAAAACGGGAAACGATTTGTACGCAGTGTTAAAATGAAAACTTGGACTAGGTATACATTATAAATAAACGGGTAAAAAAAATAAAACAATTTTCTAGATAACAATTTATTTTTGTTGTCAACTGCAAACTTAACAACAGACTACATATAGATGTTTCAACACAAAATTGATAATTTCATGATATAGATAGAATATTTTAAACACGCGAACTTTTTACTAAAACATTTTCTTTTCAATTAACACACCGCCAAATAAAAGCAAATGATAAACTTTGGACGGTATAGAACTTTAGGAATATTGTGTTAGTTGAAATGCATACATCAGAAATTTGACAAAATTGTAGGTACATAGGTACAATAAGTGGAGACAGACATACATTTTTTATATATTGTTAATACCTTTTGTGACTCAATTGGGTTAAAAGGCGTTCAGCACACAGCATATTGATAAAATAATCATAGACAAATAATAATCATTACAATTGGAGAAAACATGCCAAAGTACCAATCCTTAATAAAAAGATATACGTTTTATTTTTAGATATACATAAATAATTATATTGCTTTGTCCTTTGAATTATAATAATTTTTTTTGGACATATTTAAACATCCTTCATTATAATGGAATTAAGTTTTTTGTAACTCTAAAACAATGTTAGATATTTAATAATTTATTTCAATACATTAATATACAGAGAATCATCACAAATTCTCATAATATCAAGTTCTTGATACTAAATAAACAAATTTTTAATTATACTTAAATTTTAAATTAATAATAAAATATGTTTCATTATAAATAAATTTATTTGTTCAATTTTAAATGTATATTTTTAAATTCAATATTTCATTTGTCTCCGATATGAATGATATTTTTAATAATTTTTATTTTGAAAACAATATTATTGAGTTATATTTATCAAGGAATAATAGAAGGAGTACGTTGATGATGTTAACATCTACTAAATGTATATGAATGGTGTAAGCGTGTCTCATATATAAAATTTTAACTTTAAGCTTATGTGAGGTGAATCCGTATGTTTGTATAAGCCGCTATGTCCACTCAGCACTGTACAGAATACTCGAAGGAATGTACGCTTTGGCACTAATATTATGATATATAATTATTTATTTGTTTTTACAATACGTTCAAAACCTTTATATTTACAACTTATTTCTATATATTTACAACTATACTGTTTCAAGACGAATTCATTAAAATATTTGATTACACATTTACAAGTAAATACATTTGTGACAATCATCAAAAGTTACAATATCTACAGCGGCTTTAAAAGCTTCAGCGTATAACACATTCATATTTATAATAGTATAGTATATATACCGTAATCAATTTAAAAATCCAATTAATTGAATTACATAATCGATAAGTTTTCAATCCATTTATTATTGCGATTAAATTGACATAAGTTTGTTGACTCCGAAAGAGCACAGATAACACAAAGAATAAACATTTCCTTACAATCTTTACATAGTTAAAATGGATTGAAAATAAAGTCTTGCCGATATTATTATAATAAGACGTACACGATAAAAGCTACCGATTAAAATTTTTGTTCTGTTCTGTAATTTGTTACGATCTACTAATAAATATAAAAGCCAATTGTAACTAACATCTAACATAAAATGGATTATATTGCACACATTCACTTAAAATCTACGTATCAGTAAAACAACGAGTGGGCTTAAATCCCTCTCCGCCATAAATTTCTTAACTCACCGCTTAACTACCAATGGAATGACATGTTACGCGCACTGCAAACACACTAAGCAAACTGAACCCGCCAATACATTATCAATCAATGATACTGATAAATTTCATTTGATATACTTTACTCAGCTGACTTGTGATTTATCAGAACGAATATATTCAAAGGATTTCTATTGCATTTCAAATGAATGAGTTTAAACAAATCGAAACTTTGCTGGTGTAGTAATAAAAGTGCAGGTTGCTTAGCAGTGCGTCGTGCTGCAAGCTCTGCTCTACGGATGACGTGACCCTGGTCTCCCTGTACCGGGGGTACAACGACCTGCGATGAGATGACCTGATGCTTCCGACCCGAATGTCAACGTTGATGGCACATGGATGTCGCAAGTGATCCAATGAATATTACATGGAATGTTTAAACTCCGTACGTAAGCTCTAAATCGACTAGTGATACTAACTTCAAATGATCCGAGATCATTGTTCTTTTCATACTCGTAGCACCAATGCCAAACTAATTTTTTTACTTTATATTAGAACTCTATGTTACTTCTCGTGTTCAATTCACTAGTTCTATTTAATATTTGAATTGGAATCGTATCAAATGTTTCTATTTTGCAAAAATTTACTTATTCGAATGTACTTCAATTTCATTAATTACAATTGTTAAAATTAGGATATTTTATATAAAATTCAGTCGTAGACTACCAATGGTTATTTTGGTAACGCTACTTTCTATAAACAATTACAAAATGTTACGTACCCAACAGATCCCGGAGAAATTAGTGGGACGTTCTAAATCATTTCATTTAAGTTTTGGGCAGTGTACTTGGAGATTTTTAACAAGTTTTTGGAAACATCATCAAACTTTATGTATTATAAAAAATTGCCTCCCTTGTGCCATTAATTTTGTTTAGCCTACTTTTAAAACCTGCGTTTTCTCATATCAGTCCGTTGCAACGTCCGGATAGGAATAGATAGTCTTTATCTATTCGATGTTATATCCTCTGTAGAGCGAACGGTAAAGACCGCTCTCCGCAGATCGTTAAATACTCTCTCTAATACTAATTAGATAGTATTGATCAGTATCTTAACCATGTGCGGGGAGTGTTGTTTGTCTGTCCGTTCAGAAGAGCATGTGGCAGCGCAGGTTGGAGTTGGCTATTCCGTGGTGTGGGCGATGAGGTCGACTCCCGGCATCGCGCTGCCCAGCGCGGCCGGAGGGTCGCTGGCGGGGAGGGAAAGTAGATGTTAGGCCTCCAAGAAAATTAGCGCAGTTGGCTTTGGTTCCAGATTTGACTTCTTCGCTTCTACAACCAAGAACTCAATCTCCTGAAACAGAAAAATGTTAATTAATTGATTTTTAATTCAGAACTTCAACAATATTAACGAGGGATTATTTAAAAAAAAACATTTGAAATAAATTTGTGTCATTAGCATACTACTTCAAATATTATTCAAAACTAGTGCATGGTAAACGTGTTATATCTCACTGGCTTATCTCGTTGCGCAAAAGATTCTGCAATAAGTCGAGCGACTTCTTGATGTTGCATGCCCTCGACTCTATGCCCATCCACCGCCAGTATCAATTGTCCCACTTCCAGTCCCCCAGCTTCATACGCTGAGCCATGCTCCTGGAAGAAAATGACGATAGCCTTTATTTCATCATTTGATAAAGTACCTTTCACTATTAGCAAACGAATTTAGGAACAAGTCTATAGCCTTAGCGAATTTAATGAAGCAATCGAATAAACTTACGTGAATATTGATTATTCTGGGTAGTGGATGCTTAGTATTGGCGCCGCCCTCGATAGCGATGCCAAGGATCGGCTTGGTCTTCTTGACAGTGATGTGTAGGTTTCCATGGTGGTCCGGGACAACCCTCGCGGCCCTGCCTTCGTCCATCTGGGCATCGCCATGTTGCAGGCGCTGCATGGACTGGTGCCTGCGGATCCCACCTCGATCCTCAAGTAAAGCACCACCTTCTTCTTTCATGTCGAAGCTACGCGACAACTTGTGGGCCAATTCCTGTCGATATGACTGTACTTAAAACGTTCTCAATAAAACAATTTTTTTAAATTTTGGATCGATATTTACGGCATTATAATGATATATTTAAATATAATTTCGTATCAATTTCTATATCCTATGTTATATTCCATTTAGAATCCTGTCCTAGGAGTCTACGTATACCACATCCACGCTAATCTGTAAAACTACGCTAAAATAACAAAAATACCAGCCTCTAATAAACTGAGTGCGTTGATTGAGAACAAGTGTAGCTGGGCGGCAAAGGGAAGTAATTCGCTACAGCAACTATACTGGAAGGATTGAACAGCACTCGTACAACCGTATGCCTCTCAGTTACTAAGGTCTGTGATCTGTTTACGACATATGTATCGAGAAGCTCTAAGTGGATGTGAGCTGGAGGCTGGGGAACATGCGAATCAGTCACTCGGTGGCGTGGTACAAAAGGTATTTTAATAGTGGTTAGATGTCTTATGAGAAGTCGTTAACCCAATTAGCGTTCCTACACAGCGAATCCAGAACAAGGAACTCATACAGCAACTTAAATGTTACAAATGAAATCAGTAAGCTCAGATACTCAATATAATACAAATAATAAGTAATAAAAACTTTTCTATGCATGCATCATAAAAAAGGAAATGTATTTAAAGATTGATTTTAGAAATTTACATCGTTTCATATAATATTTGAGATAAACGTTTTGAAGTTACGCGTCAATAATTTACATGACTAAATTTTTTCTAAACCTTAATGACACTATTCTAAACTGATTTTGCCTATGTTATCCATGCAGCAAGTTAGCTTTAACCATTAAAAACGAAACACCTACCGCTACAGGCTGAGGATATAACCGAATTTAATGTGCAAGACTACATTGAAAATTAATGAACGAACGAAAAATGAAGAAAAATTAAAACAAAAAAATAACCGAAATGAAGTGCTAACGATAAGGTAAGTGGAAACATATATTAAACTAACACCAAGCACGTTCCGATTACGAAGCGAAAATTTTGAATAAAGTTTTATTTTGAACATCGTGCAAAAGAAATAATTGTCAATGTGCTAGGACAGTTTGCCGATCGGTCTGTCGGCGGGAGGCCGGGCCACTTACTAGAGGTCGTCCCCAGTACCATGATTTAACTTTCTGCGTCCAGCCACCGAGTGATGAGCGCAGTCCCTCGAGATACCCGCACTGAAACATCACACTCACTCAGCGTCTGCCATCACTCCGACACAAGCAACAGCCCATGGCTTGCCCTGTCCCGTCCCTAAGGTTGTGCTCGTCCAATGCCCCTTTTAACGTCCCATGTCCCCAACACTAACTAATCATTGCTATCGAACGCTACTTTCTAAAATGCAGGTATGGTTACACGAAAGGGACACTAAGATATGCTCAATCTAAACTTTAGGTATATAATGTTCCAATATGAAAACATTGATGAAAGTTTTTTAGCACTCACATACAACCCAATGGCATCGCACATTTAGCAAATTCTACATCTAGAAAAATCGTAAAATATAGACAAACTGCTGGCCAAGCTAGTAAACATTTTAATAGAACCTATTTAATGTAACAATAATGTAGATAGATAGTTAAATTCAATAATACTTCTTATTTTAATCAAATAGTCATTAATACATACCTGGTCCTGCGTTGTTAAAAGATGCATGAAACAAAAAATATATTGAATTTTGAACTTGATATTTTAACAATGTGAACGAGGATTTGGCAAGTTTTGAATGACGCAATAATTTAGTTCCATTGTGTTCGTGGATGTCAACTTTTCACCAATTGTACTATTGGGGTTTTGTTGACACAATACATCATTGCAGAGAACAAAACTAGACGTTTCCAAATAATATGTACCTATATATGATCTGTAATATTGTTCTACAAAAATATATCATAAAGTTTTTAAATCCGCATACTTTAGGAAGATTGCCATTAGGGAGTAATGTGTATGAATTACATATTTCCTAAAGATGTATAGAAGATCAGAATACAAAATAACTACTCATTAATTTCAAGAATTCTATTGGAGAGTGCATTAAAATATTTAAAAAGGATTGATGAGTTTAGTAGAATTAAAATTTGTTGTTTCTTGTTGTTAGTTGATATGTAACAAAATGGCAATTTTAGTATGCCCAAGTTTTCCTTTTCACAATAGATACAAAGCGTAGCCCGTTTCCCATTCAATAATCTATGTTCACACTTTAATTTACAAACGGTTATGGATTAAAAAAAATAAAAACAAAACGTTTCTTATGTAATGTGACGATATCATCTTAGACTAAACACACTGATAACTAACAGTAGCTATAAGTGAAAAAATACAAATTATATTTCTAGCTATTCGAAAATAAAAATACAAAACCTTATTAGGCAAATATAATATGATAAATAAAATTTTGTTTGAAACTTTATTGAAAATATACCCTAAACGTACTGAAACCCTTTTCTCAGAATACGTTTAAAATTATAAATTTACTATTTGAAGCAGGTATTTGAACTCGATCATAGAATAGAAATATTGTAAATACAAAAGTACTTTAATTACAAATTTTGTACATACTTACATTTAACCTTAAAGGTAATATAATCAAGATTAAGAAGTTATGAGCAGGCTCTGTTTATTATAACTTAAAAAGTGATGATTTAAATCAACGATAAAGGTCACGCAATGTATTTGTTTCATTTAATTAAATAGATAATAATCCTCACGACGAGATATTTCTAATATCAAAAGATCTTTCCCGGACCCCGCTACATTACAAGCGTCTTGTTAGTCACTTCTAAAAGCGCAATATCTACTAATATCTTACTTTTCTTCCCAAAATAGGTTTCTACGTATTTTTTAAGTGTACTTTTAGTATGCTACGACACAAACTAAAAATTGATACGTTGTAACTAAAGAGCGTTTTCAAAACGATATCGAGTGTCATTTCATAAAAAGTTCATGATTATTTTATCCAAATATAGTATTGCAAGTAAGAAACTTATGTATTTTTCACCATCGGAAAATAAAGTTTCAATAAACAAAACACACCAAATTTTGCAAAAAAAGGCTGACATTTTTATGGGTGAATTTTCGATTGAAAATTAGAATGCTTTTTCGATGTTAATTTAAAATAAAATTAATAATAAATACATTACAGCGTATTTGGGACATAAAAAGGTACGTTTTCACCAAATTTCGTTACACAAAAGTAATTTTTGTAAAAGACAGAAATAGAAAACCAAAAACTCGGCTTTTTTGTCATTTCAATGTCATGATTGTTATGTTCATCATCTTCTATATATATAAAAATGGATTGCTGTTCTTTAGTCTCGCTAAAACTCGAGAACGGCTGAACCGATTTGGCTAATTTTAGTCTTGAAATACTCCTGGCAGTCCAGGAAGGGTTTAAAAGGTGATAAAAATTGGAATAATTGCCGGGAAAAGCCGAAAAACAGCCCTTTTATATTTCCCATACAAACGTTTTTTTTTGACATTAGTTTTGACAACTAACTAATATGTCAATCATTCTGTATGATTGAAACAGGGAAAATCTGATTATTTATGGCCTCTAAGACGGAATAGAGTTCGCCTGGTCAGCTATACCTACATATATTACACTTGACCAAACTAACGCGGACGAAGTCGCGGGCAAAAACTAGTTTGAAATAAAAAGCTTAAAATTTCAAAACCTTTTCATGTAGATTAACTATCTACAAACTTTTATATCTTTATTTTTCTTCCAATATTACTAGATGAGATCAAATTAAGTTTTATTTATATTCTAACAATATCAAACGTAATTATTATGACCCTGTAATGAAAATCACGTTTCTACATCCACGTACATATTTCTTAATAGTATCATTATTCTAAGATAAATATTCCTAATTTATTATCAGTTGTGATTATATATCATAGTGTCCCAATTCCCAGGGTCTTTGAAGTTCAAGTTGCCTATAGTACTGTTCTCTGTTAGTTTGTTGCTTGTGGTAAATCTGCGGTTATATTAAGATAACTTTAATAATCCAGCGGCCCTGCCTCAGATATTAGATGTAGGACAAATATCTGTATAATATAATAGTTAATTTTAGGAATTATATAACACGATAAAAAGAATACTACAGATAATTTAATTATTAAATTTCATATCACTTAAATTTGAATCCATATTTAAATATTAATTGAATGTTTTAAAAGAACCATCATTTTTAATTCTATATTATTGATGCTCTTAAATAATTATGATGGGAAAAAATTTTATTAACGTTCAGTGCTTGTTGTTAACGGTGAATAAAAAATTATATACTTTATTAAATATGTAGTTTAAAAATGATACAAATTGTCATTTCTAGGAGAACTCTATTTAGTCAAGCCTAAGCACTAAGTATGTACATTAAAATACTCGTCAGTCATTATTTTTACAATTTAAGAATAATTTATTCTAACAACAATGACAACAGTATATTAAGCAAGCGTTAGTCAGCACTAGTTTATTCAAATACAAAAGTCTATTCACCGATTACATTCACGGAAGAGATGGAGTGACGTCATTTTAATTAACATTCAACTAACTGTCAGAGCCACACTCACGGCGAAGCTTTCATCATTGGCTGTCATAATTAGCGATGCGTCACTCACAAACACGATTCTAAGACCTCACACATTTCAATTATTTGAAAATTTACTATAAACCAAACGAACATCCTGTATATACGTTATTGACTTCAAACTAACAGTGATTCTTTATGTCTTTATACTTACTAATTCAATACGAAAGTGTGTCTTCAGTTTATTGGCCTTATACAGACTGTATAGTGAATAGACCGTTATTGAATATAAATATTTAAATTAAAATATCATAGCAAAACATTAATTAAATTTTCATAAAAACCAGAATTAGTAGAATATTTCTGTGGCGGAATTAGGTTTAGTGTATAAATTAAATCCTAAGATGCTGCCCCGTTATTTATAAGGTAACGAACGTGAGATGGTTAAATCTCTTCCTTCATTACAATTCGTCAATTACAAACTTATATACTTTATCTGACTTACAAATCAAAAGTTCCGTTACATGCGGCCATTCTTATATTTGACTCTATCAATTTTAATTGTGCGCAATTATATCCATTTGTGTACAAAAATTCTTCATTACGTTGAGAATAAAAATTTTCACTGACTTATAAGACGGTACTTGCATTTAAACTTTAGTTACTTTTCCGTTAAATACATATATTTTGAATATCAAAAGTGTCAGTGTAATTCCTTATCTATTACTTTTTTGTTTAGGAAGAAGCGGTATTACTTTGTATAGAACCAAATAAGTTAACAAGAAATAATGATAGTATCATTCAATTAAACTGGTATGATATTCATTATTCTTACGTATACACTATTATATACACGTATCTCTGATCGTTAATCCAATGACAATACTTAAATGAGGTTATGGGATGAGCTCAAGATTCTATCTATGTAGAAAAATAAATCTATTTAAATATTTACTTTATTTTTAAAAGTCCCTGAAGTTTTTTGTGGCTTTAATATAAAATATTAGAGGTAAGCCGTCTTAATCTTCTAGTAGAAAACTTACAAGTTCTGTAACTTTACCGTAGAAGTTATTTTAAAATTAATATTTGAAAGAAAGACTACCCTCTGTGAGTATATATCACTACTGAACAAACCCTTTAAAGTTTTGACTGTTACCTTAACATGTTCGAGCAACGTATAGTTTGTTTCAAAATATCCCGATAAAAATATTACATTACACTAGAAATATTGAAAGATAGAAAAGATTAAGTCGTCTACAAATATCCATTACGCCGCTTGATTCCGTGCATTAAGTTAACATACAACAAATATGTGCATCAGAAAATGGATAAAATAAAATACTTAAAAACTTTTGAGTAAAATCTAGATTCTAGATAGACTTTCTTATTAAATTTGTCCGAGAAAACATTGAATTTTTAATAATATTTTGACGTGTAAGTATTTAAGATATTTTTAAATATATTTAGTATGACATTGTATTTTTTTATCTGTAATATGTCGCAATAAAAATAAAATGTGCTCAGCCAAGCATTATAACGACCCCGATGGGTGGTCCTAGCTAGCTAAATGGCGTTTATATTCTCTTCATTAGTTTCAAATATACTTAAATCGTCAGAATTGTTATGTGCATGTATTTCCTTTTTGGAACTCTAATACATAGATTAAAATTAAAAAGTATACCTGGATCTCTCATGAATATATATCATATTTTTTTGGTATGATAACGAAATAATTTGTCACTTCAGTACCTCTGCTTATAACTGTCATTATACGATATACATATATTACAAACGTTTTTCTCCGTTTCGACTACACACTAAATTCACTCACTATACAAAAAAAATCAAAGAATTTGGAGTATTTTAAGTCAACTTTTAAATTACTTAGTCTGACATTAGAAACGCAGTAGTTTGTAGTGCAAATAAAGAATGTTAACTTTTACCAACTACTTTTATAAACCCTTCGAATACAAATTATTTCCGTAAACAGAATAAAAACTACGCTTCATTAATCCGTGTAATAGAGAGATCACTTTCTTTACGTGAAATCATGAACCGTGGTTATCTGACTGTTGTCATCATCGTGAAAACTACAAACTACATGTGTAATGTGACACTTGCATGCGTCTAAAATAAAATCAATAATCATTCACGAACACATAAAATTGTTAAATCATCATTTGTTTTCAATAAAAAAGAAACGCGAAATTTTCTCACAATTGTTTTCGTTTAGACAAAACAATAAGTATAGTTATACAATAATTGTTTATTTAAGGATCAATGATATTAAAATTCCTGTTATTGTATCCCATTTGCCGGTTAATCCAGTTTTGGGCAGATGTATCCACCGTGGGAGCGTAGGTGACTTCGAACTAATATCAACTTTAATTGCGTGAGAACTACATAGTATCTGTTTTGATATTTCGGCTCACCAGATACCGTATACTGAAATACGTTTTAGTGTAACGGTTATTAAAGATAATATCTCCAGAGCCGAGCATTGTCTACACGACGTTGCTCAATATTGTTTTGTCCTTTTTAGATCCATTCAATTGTTAAGAACTGTATCAACATTGAGAATAAAATATAATATTCATAACATTGTTTAATAGTCGGGATATTGTAGTATTATGATTGTAATGTAAAACTAGTTGTGGTTTAATTCACGAGCAAGTACTTTCTAAACTATCATTTCGTGTAATAAGGAAATGTTAGTCTAGCTAATGTTGTCTTAGATCAATAAATGAGTTGTAACGATTCTTTGCTAAATACACACAGTTAGTATATGCTTTCTACTTTACAGAATATAGTTTTTTATGTTAATTAAACGAATATTTAAAATTATTTCCTATTTATCATGTTATTGGTATATATCTAAGTACTTTTATTGTACTTGAAAGTTTCAAATGTTGCCGGGTGGTCGTTATTTCTTAACCTGTACATCTGTCATACGCACTTCGAAGTTTAAAGCTCGGTTACTTCGTTAACTCGAAACTATAAAGTAACTCGATTCTAACCTAACCTTGTTTCGTCCAACTGCCGAGTGTAGAATGTCGGCTGTTGCTTTATTGCTTACAACTCAGACACACAATACTCAATAGTCAGCAGTCTCTCACTGAACGCCGTACGGAAAGCACGTCAATTTAACCAAAACAATTCTCTACTATTTGTTTAAACATATTCTGTGATCAGTTAAAGAAAAATACCGCTTAAAGGTAAGTTAATATCGTATCGAGGTGAAGGTTTCTCTTACTGCTCTCTAATGATTTGCGTTGAGACGTAAACAATGGCGTTGTGGTTACTTTTGTATCAAAACAAAAACTCGCATGGGACTTAGACGATTTTTAATTAAGCGTGGGTTTTTAATCTACCCTTTATTGTTAAATATCTGCTTCTATTTCCAGCTTTTTATTTTTAGTACTTGTAATGTCAAAACTAAGAAAGAAATATTCGTTTTCTAGTTTTTAAAGTTATACAAATTTATTTCGTATATACGGAATAACGATTTTTATAAGCAGAACATGTTGACAGCAGGTTCTTTTTGGGCCACGGACAAAAAATTATCCTCATTTGTAATAACCTTAAAACGAAAGGTTGTTGTCGCTTTAAACCTAGTTTTTGTTGAACAAATTATTATAAATCGTAAGATTTATATGTCAATCGTATTATTTGATGATATTTTTGTTATTTAAAAAACTTATTTATTACGTATTCATTTTTTTAATGCCATTTATTAAATAATACGCAGGGTATCATTAAATACGATAATTCAGCATTTTTCATACTTTCGAATGTTCCAAGATTTTAGATTGAATTTCTGTGGTACTTTCCTTTTGAAGTTAGATTTAATTTGTATAAAAGCCTATATTGAATCAATAGATCCGTAAGAGTTGTTGCAACATCGATTGGACGATGTTATTGGACCGTAAATTCACGAGAGGAAAGTCAATAAGTCCAGATATGATATATAATATTGTTAATGAAGGCCTGTATCATCTTTCTTGCCCTCTTGCACATAAATTATTCAATTATTTTGATTAAATATTAACGATAATGAACCTTAAGAGTATGAAATACAGACAGGAGTTGTTGATGATTTTGTTTTTAGTTAAATTTAGTCCGAGTCGTTCTCAAAATCAGAGCTACGGGGTGCAGCTTGTAAACATAATTATTTCAAGCAACAAACTTGTTTAGCTTGTTAAATCTTCAGACCTATAAATACAGTCATAAAATAGCCTAGAAACAATCTACGTCTAAACTTCAACATAACATTTTATGAGTTTAAAATTTAGTACGAGCGTAACCGGGTAACATTTAATGTTAGGATTGCAAGTTGAAATAATTTAATGAAGAACGTGTTAGTTAGTTGGACAATTACATTATGAAATCCAGATTAACGCGAACGTTGTTATTTAACCGACGCAGTGTAATTTAAATATCGCAATATATTATCTAACCTATAATCTCCGTCGCGTATACAAATACTCAATTTGTGTTAGAACCTAGTAAGCTACTTAAAGGAGAATATTACGTCAAACATAGCTATTACATTTAAAACGCTCTTGATCTAAAATTTGTTTATACTTTAACATAAAAACAGTGATAATTATTGCTTAATATCTAATTAAGACACGGAAAAGAAAACTTAAAGTCACGATACATCAAAGAGAAGGGATCGTCAGTAGAATCAATTTGTAAACTAGTTTTTTCGGTCTTGTAATTAGCGGAGTGATACCAGAACTGTGGGTTAAGGCCGCCTTCACACCACACGACACGACATGCCGACGACACGCGAACGTTAAAGTGTAATCATATATCTGTTTCAAGGAAAACATTGAAAAATACACAATCACTTACCTATAATAATAATTTGCTTTATTAGTTATTCTCTTTTTTGCTAACTTAATATTATTTTAATACATCAAATTTTAACTATGTATTTGCATTTAGTTAATTTGTGTTTGTTTATGGTGAGGTGATAATTTTGTTATATCACGTAAGCGTCACAGATTCCCGCTATTCAAACACTCAGACCACTAAGCGTCTATGAAATTTTATACTTACGGAGAACCTACATTTGTCTTTAAATTTCCATACACACAATAAACCTTTTTATATTGCTCAATACTTGTAAAATATTATTCTCACAAATAATTTTTTTAACTGTCCTAGTTGTCTTGACATTTGACCTCTGAACCTAGTCAACCTGGTGTACAATTGTTCAACTCAAGTTGCTAATTGTTAACTAGAACCATAAAACTACATAAAATAGAAAGTGGCGCAGCGAACAAAGGGAACAGGCAGTTTCAGGTTTTACGCGAATATAATTTATAACATTATCTCATTTATAATATAAAACCTCTTTTTTCAATTACACCATATACAAAATTACTATCAGGTCGGTAACATTAGCGAATATTGAAAAACATTCAGCCAATCTAAAAAAAAAATCGAATTTAGTAACTGGCAGTATACAGGATGACTGGTGAATTACTATCGATACTTGAGGACGTGATATTTGACGATCATATATGACAAGATAAAAACTAATATAACATAAATATTTATAAACTTCTAAGTAAAGTTAACCAAAAGTTATGTAAATAATTACGCATCGTGTGAACACCCTATAGATTAGGTATACACACACACTCACACATACGCGTGCGGCGGCGTGGTGTTGTATCAGCACGCCGCGGCACGCGTCCACACTTGGAACATTTGGAACGTGTCAACACTTTATTTATTTATACGGAAATTTTGTCAAAAATTAAGTGACTATTTTTTTTACATAATTCGAATGAGAATCATGTACCGAGTATTCTCCTTAAATATTGATAGTAATTCACCAGTCACCCTGTATAAGAATCTACATTATAATAAAAACAAAAAGTGTTCAAAGTAAAGTGGTTAGCGTACACGCAGACAGTAACGGTCAACAATTATCGCGACATGTTCTGTTTGCCACTACTGTTGTCAACATCGGTGATAAAGGTTTGTGGATCACAAATCACATGGCCAATTACAACATAGCTTAGTTTAGCATAGTCACTAGTTATCTGTAATCAAGAAATACTTTCCAATTACCACGCCGACGAAGCCATTTCTAAACCCATCATTAGGAATCATAAATTTAGGAGTAATTATACACTAAAATAGTCATTTCCTTAACGCTTTCCATTGTAAAGTGCAAGGGTCTGTGCGACCCCGTGACCCACGAGATCCCGGAACTCTTGTCGGACCCTGGGAATTACAATCGCCTGTCTTTACTGGGTCAACTCGTGAGTGCTCGCTTCTCTTAGATGTTGACTCTTTGTTAATAATACCAAATAAGTATATCATTATCGTATATCTCTTTAAGAACTGAAATTTTAAACTTCCATCTAGAGAATGCAACGTTTTCTTAACATATGTTATTTTATAAGGACTGTATGCGTGTTTTGTGAAGACGCAAATGTTATTTAATGACTCATTTTTTAAGACTCTGTAACTAATTTAATAGAAATTTTTAATAATATAAGATAGATGAAAGGAAATGAATAAACGTTCCTAAGATACAATTTTATTATAATAAATTCATGTTAATACATAGTTATTAACTGATATCTGGGTAATAGGAAAGACATAAAAATAGTTCGCGAGGAGAAAGTTATAAGGAGCTTAATTGGACACTCTTGTAATGTCACGTAGTGAGTTATTAGAAACTTAGAAAGGCTTACATAGTCGAAGGTCCCATTGTTATGGCAACTAAATGTTTATACATTTACATATAGCAACTGTCATTGCAATAAACTATTTTTATATGACATTTGATTTGATTATAGACAGTCGTGTTTTATGGCTTCAAGTTGTACCGTTATATTAGAATAACATATTATATCAACTTCTGAGCTATTATAATCAGACTAGCTCCATATATTTGTGATTTTATGACGTTTCTCTGTCTGACTTTTACGTTTAATAAATTATGGCAATAAATACGCAATCGCAATTAAGAATGCTGACTTTTAGAAAAATATTTGTATATTACGTCTCCAAAGTTGCTTATTGAATAATATATTTATACAAATTAAGTGAAATATTTTAGTTTCATTTTTAGATTTCATAAAATAGAATAATGGAACATATGAAAAGCAGATAATTTTGTTAAAAATTCCTATATAATAGGATAATTTATAATTAGAACGACAGTGTGCAAATACAATACTGTAAAAAGAAATTAAAGTGAAATTTTGTAAGTTAGGGAAAAAAACGACAATTAAATTGAATCAACTATTTCTAAAGATTTAAGAGATCGACGTCATATATGTATTTCTTTACATGCAAGATAAATTTTAGATATATTTGGAATCTTTTGATAATTATGTTATTAAAGAACACTATGTATTTTATTCGTAATTATTTATAATGTGTGTGCTTGTGTGTTAATATTATAAATATTGAAATAATTTAATAATTAGATTTGAAATGTATTAGCTTTATAATAGTGGCGTTAAGCCAATAATATACGATAGTATCTACTATCTAGAAGTATCTACTTCTCCTCCAAAATATGTTACAACTAATACTAAAAATTCTTCTTTTTTAATATGTCTTTGTATATTGTTCATATAACATGTTTATTGTTCATCTTCTGCTTATAACAGTAACATATTGGAATTCTTTTCGATCATGATTTAATTTTGCGAAGACAGAATGCTTCCCCGCGTCTTTTTTTCGTACAATTTGTATTTATGAAAAGATAAAAAAAACACAATATCTTGCTGTGATAATAAATAAACTTGTCGGAAAAACGTTGAAAAAATATAAAGAACCTTACATATTATTGTCTATTGCTTTATTATATATTTTTATGGCCTGTAAATATATACATAATAAAACTTATGTAAGTAGCATGCACTTTATTTAACAAGAAAAAGATATATAAAAAAAAACATTATAACTTTATATAAGATTTTTTTTAATATATGTACATACTAAATTTTGCTCATGACTCTTGCTTTTTAAATATACAGTTTATTCTTCTTATATGACACTTTTTTTGATTTTGAATAAAATATACCTAATGTTTCCCTTCACGCTCTGAACTACATATATGCATAATTTGAGCACTGCCAACTGAATTAAAAATTAATAGTTAATGGTCAGTTTTCATAAGAAACTCATTAAGAATGTAACGATGCCTCGGAATATTAACTATAATGTAATAAAAAATATTCCTTTACAATTCATATGATGTACTTATTTTTAAATACTTATTCTGATTTAGGGGATCGATGTACAAGAAAAATTTATTATTTTACGATAAGACTTGGCTATACAGCACTAATATAATGCTGCATAAGACAATAAAATAGAATTGATTTTTTAAAAGCTGTGAAACATTAATGTATAATATTAAGACCAAAATAATAGAACTTTTGAAAGTATAACCATATTTAAATTTTGTTACTTATTATCAATACAATTTTAAACGCAGGTTTTGCATAATTTTTCTGGCAATATACCAATACAAAATCCAATTTCATATTGAACATAAAACTGAATAATTTGTGCCATATGTACATAATTTTAAACTATAAAAAATATCTTTGTATATATGTACATAAGTTGATTGTCTCAATATTATTTGTGTATTATCTCTAAAGTTGTTTGAAGATGTCAGTATAATTGCCATGTTTGTATTTAATTTGCCAAACATGCTGTAACGATGTTATAATTAATAATTACATAGTTGAAGTAATTCTTAAGTTAATTATGACCTAACATTTCCTATTTTATATAATGTTCATTGTATCAGAATTTCCGTATAACTCCTATCTAGATGCACGACTGTTTGAGATATCTGCGTGTGAATACTATAACAATTATATTCATAATAGCCAGCTTCGTATTTTCATGTCGTCTGCTTTCACCGGCATTGTGAATTATGTGCAGCAATAAATCTAAGTTTCCGACTATATCGGTATATATGATCGATTTTTATAAATATAAACGAATAAAAATATTTTAAATAACTTATTGTTTACCAATTCAACGATCGAAGTGCATTAAAAATACAAATTGAACTGTCAAAGTAACTTTTTTAATGATCAGCGTAATGGTCGTATCGTATACATTATCGGGAGACATTATTTTATAAGGAGCTTTGTTTACGGCCCTGAGTCACGTCGTGCACCACGCAACGTACTAAGTATTACCGCTTTCTCAAGATTACGACATTATCTGCGGCTAGCGATTATTTACCTTATCCTACTTACACCCCGGGACTCGTGTTGCGTGTTTACATGCAAATTTTTATATCGAGTGATGTCAGCAAAAAAAAAAGATATTTATTTAACATTTAACGAATAAATAAAACCATAAATTAGCAATTATTTTTATGTTGTTTATATTATAAGATGATTCTATTTATAATCTGTGCAACTATTCGTTTAAAAATACTTTTATATCCAAGATAAAACAGATAATTCTGATCACGTTCGTTTCCCGTCTCTCATGTTTACGAATCAGGAAATAAAACAATAAATATAGTCTATTGTAAAACACAATAATAGTCATTCAATTTAATGCTCAACAAACAGAAGTATTGTTCACGTCTATTTTATAGTTCTAGAAATAAATTTAATGGCTTCCAAAAACCTTACACAATGATAGTAAGTACATTTCGGCTAATAAAAAAATGGGTGACCAAATATCAAATCGTGATTTTCGAAAGCGTCAAAATATGAAATAATGCCATCACATTTAGCCACACTTTCGCTGGAGAAAGTCAATCGTGCATTAAAGATCTTTGTTTGAGCGCTTGATGTTCCGCGGCGATAAATTAATTACAATTGTCTTGTTAGTCCTATTATATTCATCTTTATAACGATAAATTATAAAATATGTGGTAAATAAAAATCTCGAACTTTATATATAAAATCAAAGTATTAAATGGAAACAATATACATTTACATTTTGTTTTGTTAAAGACATTTCTCCGGTCTCATTACCTCCAAAGATCTTAATAAGTATTGTGTTAGTCTTTTGAGAAGAAATTCTTAAGAATCCAAAAGAATGATTGTATTGAATAAACGATAAATTTATTTGCAATTATACAATAAAATACGGTCGAATTAAAATCGATATCCTTTCGTCCAGTCTAAACACTATTTTGCAAATGGTATAATTGGATATCAATCCTAGTTAATTACGTAATAGTTTCTCTTCCTACCGCTTATGTAAAAACCTTGTTCTTCTAACCCAAATAAAGTAACAAGCTCTAAAACAATGGCTGTGACAAACGAGTGTTTCATTGAACGTATTATAATGGCACTGCGAGCCAGGCCGGGCTGCGCAGGCGCCGTAACGGAATCATTCTCGGACATTGATTGAGATTTCACAATAATTCTCTCACCTCGACTTACACAACAGTTTGTTAATGCGGACACTCTCAAAGATTAATGACACATGACAGTAATGACTTCGATATTGAACGAAACAACAATTTTCTTCAATTAAGCTTTGATGCCATTATGATTTATGATTCTAAAGCCTCGGTATCAAATGCGCGTTCATGTTACATGTTTGCTTAATTAATATATTTTCTTACAGATACTTATTTGCTTCAGTAAAGTCAATAAAATAATAATAATGGAGAGCTGGTTGGACGACGTCAAGCGTGTGAGAATACCACGACCCAAATTTGAGCGAAAATATCCCACGGAGCCTCCGAAAGACTACTTAGAAGACTGCAGCGACCTCGGTGGCAAAAGACGGCATCATGACAACAAGGACTTGGCTAAAGCAACAGAAGAACTAAGAAGAACGTTGCAAGAAAAGCTATGACCGATAACGGGATATCCACGGGATTGTTCCAGGACTGCCCTAATAGCATTTTAAGTTAATAATGTCTTGGAAAATAGCACTAATAAAACCAGTATTGTTAATATTTAGCCAAACAATTTAGTAAGAAAATATGAACTAAAATGTCACATGAACGTAAAGAAAGTTGTAAGAATTTTTAATGTACCAAAATGACACCGCAACTTTCATCTTATTTTCAACATGTCATAATAACAGTGTTAGGTGTTCAATACTAATTACACTGGAAATAGAATGATAAAGTTATATAAGGACGTCCTAGGCAATATTTTTATTTTTTTGACCGTCTAAAACCATTTGACTTAAATTTATTTGTAGTTTTTAAGACTGATAAATAAAAATATTAATTAATTTTATAATTAATAATAATCTTAGCTTGTAATTATTTTTAAATTAAATTTTAAAAATTAAAATGTGTTTTTTAATGTCCCTCTTATGAAATAGTTTATAGCAGTTTTTCTAATGTACAATTAAATTTATATTTTTCACGAAGATAGCCACTGTAGAAAACTTATCTTATTTCAATAATTTTTACAAAATTCAAATAATAAATAGGTACATACATAACAAAATAAATCCGTTTGCTTCTCAGATAACCTTAAATGGCCGGTATAAAAAACCAATGCTATGATTCATAAACCAATAAAAAATATTTTATTTCTGCGAAGGCCACAATACACAACAAAATTGCAAAAGTGAATGTTTGTCATTTGAACCCACACTGCGTTTTAATAAGGAAATGCATAAAAAGAGAATTTTATTAAAATCAGTAGTGCAGTAAAATATTGAATAAGATCAAGTTTGTCAATTTGTGATTTTCATATTTTATCAATGGTTATATATATATGTCAACAATATTTTTGTTTATAATAAAATATATGTACATACAAATACTAAAATATATATGGACTTCATTTTTACTAAAAGAATAGGAATAAGATGGCCTTCTCTAAAACACTTTTATTGACGAAATATAGATATTGGATGGGTTCGGGACGCTACAGATGAGTGGCAAATTCGAAGGAATAAATTGTAGGATACTGACACTTGCGTTTATAATACAATAATAACGAAATATACCTCAATATCTCATAACTTTTTTGACATAATATAACCTTACACTTTTTTCGCTGCAACATTCAGATGATAAAGAATCACTTTTAAAATTAAAATTGAAAAAGTAACGTTTAAATTTATTTTCAGGAGTTTTTATTATATTATACAGGGTGACTGGTGAATATACTAGTGATATTTGAGGACGTGATATTTGACGATCATATATGACAAAATAAAAATTAATATAACATAAATATTAATAAACTTCTAGGTAAAGTTAACCAAAAGTTATGTAATTAATTACGCATCGTATGAACACCCTACAGATTAGGTATACACACACACTCACACAGACGCGGCGGCGGCGTAGTGTTGTATCAGCACGCCGCCGCACGCGGCCACACTTGGAACACTTGGAACGTGCCCACGCTTTATTTATATATACGGAAATTTGGTCAAAAATTAAGTACCCATTTTTTTTACATAATTCGAATGAGAATCATGTACCGAGTATGCTCCTTAAATATTGATAGTAATTCACCAGTCACCTGTATTTAGTACTTAGTTTTTTTCATTTGAAAGAGAAAAAATCCAAATGTTCAATACATGAGACTAAATCCACGCAGCATATTTCTCGTTTTCTACCTAAATATTACCGAACAATAATTTCTAGGAAAGAGAGTGAATGTGACAGACATTTGGCTTTCAGCCAACTTATTCACTAGAAAGGGGGCTGGATTCATGAATCATAACTTTTAAGATGTGTGGAATAAGAGACATTCGCCGCTCCAGATATTCGAAAAATAGTATAGGTAATTTATACGAGCTTACAACAAACTCATTACATTTTTCATTTGTTAGTTGCGACAGTTTACTTCCGAAATGAGAAATTAAGGAATCCTCATATATCACATGTAATGAAACACATTTTTCAATCTAATTATATGAAGACTACTCTGTTATATAAAAAAATCAGATTTTGAAGAGAATTTTAATCACTTTTATACATAAATATACTCACAGCATCGTCGTAGTGTTGTGTGTGGAGAGCGGTAGTGCTGCCCTCTCTCGAATTACATGGTGAAGAATGTCTTCTGGAACGCCTTCCCTCCTCCTGGTACTCCTGGCATACAAAATATTCTTAAAACTAATCGAATATTATTCCAATTACAGAACACACTAACACAAACACGGTAACAGAACTCATGCAGGAAAGAAAACAAAAAAGCGTACAAGGACAATCAATAACAAGGCAGGTTGATCCTACAAGTGGTTTTAGAATCTCATGAAGTTTAAATAACACTCGAGAGGGTATAAGCCTGGCTATAACCGCGTTCAGACTGAGGGATGATCAAGAGACCCGATACAATTGATTTTTTTGGGTATTTTTAAATGACACAGTTTAAAGATGAGAGTCTAATCCGGTGACCGCTATATTCAGAAACGATTATAACATACGAAAATAATTTGATCATAAATAAAAATATGTTGGCGACATGAAAAACTTTATGGGGATAGTGTAATTTGTTTTATAGAGAAAAATTTATTACCGAAGTTCAATAGTATACTTAATGTTTTGTTGGCAACAATAAATGCCAATTTTATTATGTATAAAACTTTTCGGTACTTCCAATAAAGTTTACAATAAAATCGAACTTTTAGTATATGTAGTTGTATAAACATCTTTTACGAAAACACGAATGAGTTCTAGTAATACTATTTGTATGTACAGTTTTTGCTGAGGACTGATGCATAATTAATAATAATCCTTCACATATTATACTTAAAAGATTTTCTCTTTTATAACCATTTATGAATGTATGAATGAAAGGCAGAATGTTTGATTAAGTCAGCAAACTGCCTTTTTCTTTTCGAAATGTATTTATAGTAAGAAAAAATTATTTATTAACTTAAAAAATAATGAAGATTTATAACGCTTTCATTATAATACCTATCTTATACGCAAACATTAGAAGGAACGGACTTGGAAGTTAATATAATGTATAATTGAACACATTTGTCTGCCATGAATGGTTAAGATCAGTCAAGTATCAAATTGAGACAGGGAATTTGAAATGTGCACGACTTCCTTTACTATTTATGTGTGCTTACTCCAAGTCTGCTCGGTCACATTACATACGGAGCATTAACAGTCAAATACGTCTGCATTCAGAATTCTTCGCACAATAAAGTATTTTTTATAGTATTAAAGTGTTTTATTCAATGAGAAACGGGATGCGCTTTGTACACACAAAATGTGACGATGCAAACGTGGGCTAAGAATACTGTAATCTACAAGAATATAAAGAAACACGTAGTCATGAAGATATGTGAGGAAGAATTTTTAATTAATATTAATCAATTTTATTTGGGTTGAATATATTATATTATAAAAACAAATTTACTCACATATTAAAGGGATATTTAAATGATAGGCCACGTTTATGCAAATGACTAATAAATTAAGTCCATTTGTTTTTGCATAAGGAACCAGGAATCCTTCTAACATGAATTAACATGAAAATTCTGGAAGTTTATTTAAAAATCCTTATTTATGAAATTATCTTAGTTATAAAAATTCCTTTGCCATCAAAGGAATTACAATAAAAAATAAAATTTGGTTTTTGAACCAAATAAGCAGGAAATTTAATCAAAGCAATTTATATTGGCATTTTTTTACGTTATGCCTTTTATATGGACTATATACATATTCCAAATTATTATAGTGAGATCAATTGCCAATGAATCATGTCAGGATATTGTTACAAGCCACGTATATATTTATCTTGGACATAATATTTCGTGACTATTTCTGAAACTATAGACAACGGGATATGGATATGGTGGGCTGAGTAAAGAAAATTACACGTCCAAAAAACTTTGTTCATATTCTTCCTCTCGGGAAATTGAATTTACTCAGCTGTGTGACAACGTTCGCAATTATATATAAATATTATCCACTGATATGTATATATGACGATTTCTAGGTATTTGGGTGAATATTTCAACATTGTTATGCTACGTTATCCTGAGAAAAATAATACAATACTTTATATTCACCCTAATTTCTGAATAGTTTGGTCATATTACAATTACCTTATTTTGGATATAAGGACAAATCTTTATCAAATAATTCGACATTTTCGTTTCCCATTTTGATCAAAAACAAATTTAAAATTGTATCATTACTTGAAAGGACATTAAGAAATAGGTACTAATAATTGTGACTCATATGAAAGTCAAAATTCGTTTCCGACGAAACCTCCTTGGTTTGTATAATTTTATAAATGTATATGTACAAAATACATAAACATAGCGAGCGCGCTATTTATAGAATAGTTTATATTTTAAATTTAAAAATTTTACTTTTTCCAGCAAACAATCACATTTGCAGTTTAATATCAGACAGGCGTTTGGCAGCGACGTTCTACAACGAAGTTAAATATATCTGTGACAATATGTAATGTCAGAAATACTTGTATTTTTTTCTATTTTATATTTAAAACTTATACGGATTATTCATTTTTTAAATTGAAAAAACAATTCGAAACATGATTTATCAACGCAACTAATATTTTCTCGGATTATACAACGCTTATTAAATAAGTACTTAATATAGAAAAATGTCTCTTAGTTAAGCTTTATTTGATATTTCATTTAATTTTTGTTACAAGTGCGATGTCGAACTGTATATTCATAAATGTTTTTGCTATATGTGTAATTCTCATGTAAGTGATAATAATGTCTTAATGGGAATAAATATCTTAAACCATTATTAATTTATTGTAAAAACTACCTACTCCCGACGTTTCGGTTACTTTTCAGTAACCGTGACCACGGATAGACATATCGTCTGTCTGTAATATTTACAATTATAAAATACGCATAGTATAATCCGAAAAATATTAGTTTCATTAAAATAAATATTGGCGAAAGATGTCATTATAATTTATAATTTTTCGATTTCATATGAAAAACATAATAAAATTTTGCTAGAATAATAATAATTATTAACAAAATTTATGTTCCTATAACTTATTAACGATTTTTAGTTTATCGTACACTTAAAAAACATCACAGTTACACCAAAACATTCCGAACTAACAAATAAACTGCATCACGTGTTGTTGAAAACCGAACGCTTAACATCAACTTATGACACATTATTTGTATACAAGGCGCGCGGCAACAGCTAACTTCAAAGGAATTCCTATACCTTGGCCATGGCATGTATGTCGATGGGCATGTAGTCGCAGAAAGCGACGCGGCGGCGGCGTCTAGACATGCTGTCTACACTCTACTACGACTCACACTGAACTGACGCCCGGCATGAGACTACCATGACGCCACGCGCCCGCCCAATTCCTACAGCGCTTGCCATTTCAATTTGCAATTGCAATGTGAACAATCGAATGATTATTAGCCGATAAAGCTATACACCAAGAAAGCATTACATGCATTTTGAATTGACGGGTTCATGTATTAAATTATGTAAAGACGTTTTTGTGTCATTATATTGTAAAAGAAAAAGTAAGTCACGGAAATTTCTTTTAAGTCATCAAAGACGTTTATAAACAAGATGTGCTTTTAATATATGATTTCGAGAGAACAGTTTGTTTATAGTTTTATTTATAAGAAAATAACAAGACTACGTTTGAGCTATGTTATATTTTTCTTAATTAGCATCTTTCGTTAGATTGAATAGTTCTGATAAAGATAACGACCCTGAGAGCCCCGTGGTTTTAATGAACATATCTTAAGTCTAATCAAGAAGATAATGAACATAAAGGGGTTAATTTATTTTTAAGTTCGTTAACCTTCGAGTTAATCCTTGAAGGAAAAAAACCTCTTATCTTAACTTCACATCTATGTCGACGACACGAATCTTGACTTGCTTGACGTCACTAGGAAAACTCTGAACTTTTATGATTTTTCCTTAAACGATCTATTTCTTGTAAATCACTCTGTGATTATTTCAGAAGTTGGCTAAAATATTTTTATTATGTCTTTCGTACTGAAGTAGCCCATCGAATTTCACAATTTTATTCTCCAATATACTCGAATATACTTACAGAATACACATCAAATATGTACCAGTAAAAATAATATTTTGATATAATACTACACAATCTTTACTTCAAAAGCTACATTAACGTAGAATTAATAATTTTTCACTTGTGTACAATGTACACATGTATATATACCAATGTAGAAGTTAGTTTTTTTACTATCAGCGGGAAAACAACCCCGTTTCGTACGCGTAACGAGTATACTTGAAGTCTGAATATTACTGTGATATCAACTGTTATATATGTTTCAAAATGTTAGAGCATCACTTTAACTTAAATTATTTGTTCATTTTTTTAATTTAGCATACATATATCGCCATAATGCTCCAAGTAGTTTTGATAACATGCTTTCATTTCTAACATGTTAACTTAGTTGTGGCTTTATGTATTTGATTTTATATATCTACGAAGTTTTGCCTGCGACTTCGTCCGCATTAATTTCGGAATTAGTAATATATGTATAGCTGACCGGGCAAACTCTATTTCGCGGTAGAGGCGATAAATAACTAGATATTGTAATTTATTAATATTTTTTTTCTATTGAACAGAATTATGTATATGTCCAACTTCTCGTTCTAAACTATCTCCCCATTAATTTTCAATTCTATCCCAACAGCCGTTCCTGAGTTATAAATAGTGTAACTAAACAACTTTCTTCTGTATCTAAATATAAAAAAGATGCACAGACTTTTATATGCGAATCGGAAGAAGATATTTTCATCAAATAGGCATCGTAAAAAACTGAAAGGTTTGTAAGAGTCGGAATATCTTTCAACAATGAATTCAAGGATAATGACAAAAATGGCGAACTCTGCAGAAGTTTTAGAATTAATCATTTTCGACCGAGAATTATATTACGTTAACTATTATTGTATTAAAATGATTTAACTATATCCGAATTATAAATTTGACTTTACTTATTATTTAGGTAAGAAATATTATTAAGACTTATACTATCTATTTTACAGTGAAAATCGAATATTTCTGATATTAAATTATTTAATAATCCAATCAGTCCTGTAGTACTGAAATTTTTATTTTATTAATATCCCCCCGCTCTTTAGAAAGTCTGATAAATGACAATATACAGACATAATATGTAGAAGCATCTTACTATAAAGTAAATGGCCATGCTTGTAAATTTGTACATATGTACATAGATCTGGTTACAAAATAGATTGCTATCATTAGTTTAATGTAATCTGTCATAGAAACTGGAAAGCCGAATTGACAGACAAACTATAAATCAACAGTTCCCTAAGAGCATACCAAGCATTAATGGTGTATGTATATATAAGGCGTCTTAACTGAGTTATAAAGGTAACCACAATAAATATAACTGTCGATCAAGCTATGATGGCTTAAATTTTTTGTGGGTTCGCCATTTCAACCACGCAATTTAATAAATATATATGTAGTATTCTTCGGGTTAAGAGAAATTAAAGCAAAGCGTTTCTGCGCGATAAAATAATTATTTAAATGAGTTCGAATTGTGAGGTTCCGCTTCAATATTTAATGCATATTTTTATAGAAAAAATTATGTACGAATAACTCTATCGCGGCATAAAATTAAATGTTTTCTGCATATTTAATTTCAAATAAAATTAACATAAGATGATGGAGTGATTTCCATTTATGCATTTATGCAGTTCAAGAAAAAACTGAAATAACAGACAGGAAAGTTTTGATCGATGTATGGTTTGTGGTGGAAAATATTACAAAAATGCACACAATTTTGGGCTCGTCCGGGATTTGAACCCGGGACCTCTCGCACCCGAAGCGAGAATCATACCCCTAGACCAACGAGCCGATATGTAACAGAGTAAATAATAGGTCTACTTATAAGTTCCCTTTAAAATAATAGAATTCTTTTCAAAAAATAAACTCGAATAATAAGTATTTAATTCAAGTTTTGGTAAAAAAGGATTTCATATTTTTCTTAAATATATCACAACTATTCTAATAGATATTTTCAAAAGAATTGGAAAATACATTGGCCGCTATTACCGATAAATTTTCTTATGAATAATTTACGCCAATGTTATCATAATACATGATAAGCCCATGGAAATTTTGCCAGATTTACTCAACAATTTCTCTATGCGAATGGAAATAACGGCCATAATTAAAATTCATGTGTTTCTACATACAACTAGCCGTTTCAAAGTCATGCAACAGTCAATGTGAGTCATAGAAGTCAGTGGTTGTGCTGAGGTGCCACTCAACTACATTAAAGTTTTCAGTTTTGAATACAGATGAGAAAAAAATTGTGTGCAAAGAGTTCCAATTACGGCAAATGGATGTGAGAAAATGCAAAAGCCGCCTTTGGCAGAACATTTGCTGAGAGCTATCCCACTTATAAAAGGAATCTTCTAAATGGAGCTGCAAGCGGTTTGTTAGAATTCAGGGTAGTGTGGAAGCAGAATCGCGTATGCCGCACAGGACATCAAAGTTAAGGCATAGAGAGGTAAACGTGTAGAACTTGAATAAGTGTGGAAGGTAACTCTGGCAAATTCACCTCGGGCGGAGGCTCCAGGTCTTCGTCCGGCGGCTTGGGCGGTGGGGGCGCAGGGTCCCCAGGGCACCACGCGCGCCCGCTCCTGCCCCACATAACATTCTGTCATACACCTTACATCTTGCTTCCATATGCTAAAACACCTACACAACAACATCATATACGCATCTGCTTGTGCAAACTATTTGTCATTTCATTCGGATGCGTTAAAACCGAACGCGTGGATACATGATAGTGTACTCTTTTATAATCATGTTTTTCCTAACTACTCTGAAACTGTGAGACGTAAATCAAAATGAACTTTAATGGATGGCGATGGTAACTGAATTGTTTAAATTGATGAGGCGATTCAGACGTTACGGGCGTTTAATGTAGTAAAATCGTCTCGGATGCAGAACAATGGTAGTAAACCGCCAGTGACAATAAATGCGAACGTTTATACGGCTGTAAAGCAATCGATGTGGTACCGAATTAAATTAGAAGTGTTGGCTGGCAGCCAATAAAATAACCGGTCTATTGATGTAATTGAGGGTATTTAAACATTAGAACAAAAGAAGAAATTATATGATCATTTAGACTTTTTTATTGTTATAATTGTAAGCCCAATAGAGTTTAATGGTCAGCGAGAGACTCTTTATCCAGGAAACAGGTATATTATATATTGAACAGGTCACCTGTAAGCCTGGTCATGAGGCGGGAGGCCCAAGCCGGAGTCCTCGGAGGGCGAGCGGTGATCCACAACGAGGGGCACTTCAGCCGGCACCTCCTACAAAAACAATCTATACCTGACCCTACAATTCATCAATCAGTTGTTGTATTAACTCGATTAACACAATTTATGTGACCTATCACGTTGTACCTTGACCGCCGCAGTCGCTCTTTGTAATCATTATGTGTATTTGCCTGCCAAGCGCACATATCAAACAAATGTAAGAATGTAAAATAAACTTTGAAAATGATATTCACCAATAACACTATGATGATGATGACCTATTACACCGACAACAGTTCTACATTAGGTTCAATTCCATTTCACCTATACATAACAAAAAGCTGCAACGTTTATACACACATCATTTATATGCTTCAGAAGCAACACAATACAAATTCTAATTTAAGGCTTCACCATGCGAAACGTAAAACGATGTGGTTACATTGCATTTGTGGCAACTGAAATATCAATGTTCAATTCATAAGACTCGTTTTAGGGTGCTAATCAAATGTAGTATAGTTGCATTAAATGCAATGCATGCAGATCGCTCCGCGTTGCATGACCATGCAACATTTAACAGGCGTTACTCACCGGGTCGTGTAGGTCGTGCATGGTTGACGACGGCAGCATGTGTCGTTCGCCACTTCGCTATAAGCATATCAAAGCTTTAACAATATTTACAATACAAACTGAATAACTCCGACGTTTTACAATTTCATTAAAGTCTTGAATAAACGGAGACAAATACTTTTAAATTATCCCACTTTGTATGAACGGTTAATAGAAGCTTCAAGAATGTTCCATCACACTTGACAATACAAATAGAAATTCTTGCTTGTTCTTGTAATAGCGTGGTAAAAAATGGATAGCTTACTCTGTATTATCTTATTAGTTTTTCTAAATTAAAGTTTGTACAAATATTGTCATATGAAAATTTTACGATATAAATAGAAATGTCCATTCTAACAAAAAGGAATATTCAGACGTGAGAATTTTGCCAAATGACTGAAAAGTAATGCCAGCAAAACCACTGCTTCACGTAAATAAGAGCTCAAATGAGAAGATAAAATTATAATTAAGGCTTAAAAGAAAGACGGGAGAAAAGAAATGGGATTTTATTAAATGAGTACGGAATTAAAAATCGTCTAGATTGCGTGAAAATATTCTGCTGAATAATATATCATGATTGAACGATAGCCATTTTGTATAAATTAATGTATTTTTCTTACTTTATCTTTACACATTAATTTTAACGAAGAAGGCCTTTACAATGTATAAAGAGGTTTGAGATTTGAGGATCTTTAAATGAAAGATAAAGCTACCTTCACATGGTGTTCTGTACCGTCTTCAGGGCGTCTATACACGAGCTCATCGAAACGAGGCCGGTCCTCAGGAAGTAAAAACTCACGGATTTCCGTCAGAAGGGAATACTGAGAACAATAAAAAATCTTGTATAATTATAAGTCCTTCAATCTCTTAATTCAAAAATAGCAAAAAATTAAAACAAAACTTGTATATAAAATATGTCTTATTTGCAAATCCATAAATCATAATAAATATTATAAAGTAAATCCATTATGCATCCGATTGTGGACATTGGCTATCGTCATACATTCGTCATTGGTCGCGTCTGAACCACATTGTAAATTACATTTCCGCAAATATTAGCTACCGTTATTCATTAGTGTTTGGTTAACTGAAACAAGCTCTTTCGGGATGTTTATTCGCCATCTGATGGATTGTGCTATAAATCACTCTTGGAAGTCTTTATATAACAAAATTAGTTGCAATATATTACTCTCCATTAGCTAGAAAAGTTCTTAGGACAGATAATTTATAACAGGCAACATTGTCATATATAATATACTTCCATTATATTATTCGACCAATATAATTTTAATTATTGTTATAAAATCTGTCAGAAATTATTCTTATAAGATCTAAGACTGACGAATATTGATTTAAATAAGAATATTCTTTTCGGATTTCTACGCGATGTTTCATTATTTTTAAAACTTCATACTCCCGACGTTTCGGTTACTTTGCACCAACAAGCAACGGCGTTGAGAATATTTAGTTTAAAAAAAATAACGACCAGTAATCCAAAAATATTATTTTCATTTAAAATAATTATTCCCTATATGGTAACACATTTTTTAAAATTAGATCCTCTATATAATACTCTACATACATAAAGATAATTAGTAGCATACATAACCAAATAACAGCAAAAAATGTTAATACAGAATTATATTCCCATAAGAGAAATTATGTTTATTAAGCAATTACCATCTGTGAATAAAAGCATAAATAGCCAAAACGGTCATTACTTAGCAATAAAGGAAATGCGAGGACCGTTTGTACTCTGTCAAATCGCGTATGAAATAAGTCAACGACTAGAATTAGCGAAATGTGACATTAGGACCTTGTTAACTATGAATATTATAAGTAACGATACTAATATAATATAATTACTTTAACTGTTATATAAAGTAACACTTATAATCTCAATTATTTTAATATAATAATTATGCCTCTAAAAATAAAGAAAACAAAACATAATTATCGATAGTAATTTATCAGAACTATCGATTACAACACTATTGATATACGAAAGAAATATGTTTTTACTCATGTACAGTACAAGAAAATCGTATTTGGCGGAATGGAAATTATAAATTAGACACGTCAAAACCTTCAAGCGAGCCAAACATCCACCTTATGAACTTCATGAACGTCTTGTACGTCTACGTGACAAGCTGATATATGAGAGTGGAATCCATTTACATTTTAAATCGAATTCCAATTCAGTTCTGTCTACGCTAAAAAATTCTATCAATGCTATAGGAATTTTATTAACATGAAATATATCAATAATAGATGCATAATAATGAGATCTAAGACTTTCGTATTCATTTAAATGAAACTAATATTTTGGGATTACTACGCGTTATGTTATTATTTTTAAATCTACAATCTCCCGGCGTTTCAGTTACTTTTCAGCAACCGTGAACACTGGCAGACAAGAGCATGTAGTAATCCGAAAATATTAGTTTCAATTAGAGGGATAATACAGTTAAATACATTATTTCTTATAACTACTACTAATTTTCATCCTTAGTGTTTTTAAATATTCGTTAATAAATGTATTTTTAATACGTAGGAAACATTAAAGAAAGAAAAATAAATATGACACAATTCAATTCCGTGTGATATTCTTTTCAGACACAATGAGTGTCATCGCTTATACTAATTCCTTTATTTATAACATTATACAAAAGATTTCTGAAAGAGATCGCTTGTTAGATAATACAGTCTATTGTTATATAATATAGTGTCCATTTATCATTTTTTATTGTTACCGTCTTTTTATAAGCCATAAAATATATTTATAATAATAACGACCATGATATTGCTGAAAAATTTATTATAAATAACTTACTTTTTGGGGTGTGTCGAGTAAGTCTCTTAAAACTGTGAGGAATGCGTCAGCCGTGAGTCTTCTATTGGCGTATTCCTCCATGTAATACGCTAGGGCTGGCAGGTCGCTTTGAGGTAACAGCGACTTTGCCTTCTGTTCGACCGCTGTTGCAGCCGCACCTCTTCTTTTACCCCAGCCGCTTATTCTACGACGGGAATATTTGCTATTAATTTAAAGAAACGGTAATATATTTAAAACAAACACCAATAATTCTGTTTTTGTGACGTTTTATAGTTTGTCTTAAAATCTCCTCATGAGAGACCTAAGTTTATATAACATTTAGGAGTTGTAATGTCGGTAAAACTCACAGCTGCTAGAAAGTGTTTAATGAAAACAGTCACATACTAAATTGAATTCTTAATAGAACTAAATTTAAACGACTCTTAGAATATCCGTAGTCCTTTAAGAGGATCCTGGATTCTGTTTGTAGGAAGTTTGAAGAGACATCAAAGACAATATTGCCGGCCTTCACTTGATCGTCGTCATAAAGCAAATTACTGATTCCTGACATTACACCGCTTTAATAACCCTTTGAGAAACATTGCTTTGTACTGCTGTCGTATTTATTAAATATTTAATCGATATTATAATTCAAAACACATATTTTATACGTAAAATTTTGTAGATATACCTACTTTGAACTATTAATTTTTCAAAAGTTATTATTTTAAAGAGAGAATTGGTGTAGAATTGTTGTTAATCAGTTATACTAGGATACCTAGGGGCTGCATCTCGTTCTCCATAAGCAGTACAAGCGTGGGGAACTTTCCCAACATCTCTCACAAGCAAAGACATTCGTTTATGATACTTCAGCTGGGCAACTGCCTCGTCGTGAGTCACGTCTACGAATGATTGCCCATTCACTTCCAAGATCTGGTCCCCGACCTGGTTAAAGACAATAGAAAAATTTAATTCAGTTTTCATTAATTTTGAGATTACATATATATTTTAATTTTCGTTTTTGCCGTGTATGTGTGTGTGTGTATAAGTAGAAACATTTAAACTATCCAGTACGTGTAGTCGTATATAAAAACCTAGTATAAACTAAAAATAGGGAAAGAAACAACGATAACTCCGGTGGCCCGAGGCTAACGCTCTCATAAAAATCAATTTAGTTTCTTAGACAGAACAGTGAACTTGGTAACCTTTAACATTTCAGTGCACGATCGATCTTTGTCCATCCGACACGTGATCTGTTAAGTGTTAATATATCCCCGGGTAATGTGACTGACATTACACTTTTCTCTATACTAATTCAACAACTAAGAATAAGACCGAATAAGTATTCGTAAAACGTTGATTATTCTATTGCAAAATTCACTAAGAAAATAATGAATTCATAAAGAAAACTGAATTTAGGTTTAACGAAATTAAATATTAAAAATCATAACACTTCTGAAATATCAGAATAAAATAGAAAGAAACGTGTTCAGGATATCTATCGGTCAGTTGGGCGTAACCTAAAACAAATGCCATAAATCTTTAGCCGCACCTCCACCGTTGCCATATTTCTTTCAAACTGCACAAAATACGAGATCGTAAATATTTTTCGTTCTGTTATACACCATTATAAATATTGTTATTAGGTTCAGAGATTTGTAAATCCATTTCAAACTCCTTTTACAAAAGGGACATTGGTTTATTACGAACATAATTCTACAAGTAACTCGGAAACCCTTGTCATATATAAAGTCACCTAAATTACTGAAATTACAGGCCTCTTTGTAATATTGGATGATGCATTACGTTTATAAATCACATTGATCACATGGTAGCAAAGGGTTCAAATAAATTTAATTAACATAAGCACTACGAATTCTATTCTGTTGTCTACTCAGTAGCTACATCGACTGTTATATTTTGTGGAAACCGTTTTACCATATTATTACCAGAAAATTGTAACATAACATTATTTTAATACTGGTGTCTTTCTAATTTATTTATTCTAGTAATTTGGACGGAGAAGTGTATATTTTCGAAAATAGTCTTTATAGAATATTTTATTTCATAAAAAGAATGTTTTTGCTTTTCACTTAACCTTCCTTCGAGTTGGATGCCATTTTTCTTACAATATTTTTAATCGAATTTAGAAACAAAGAAATAATCTTCGGGAGAATATAATTTTATAATAAAATATTATATAAGGTATGACGTCACTGATTGCCTGCTACAGTCATCTTGTGAGAACTAGGATCTCAATACCACATTAGAAATATTATCTAGTTTCTTTCTGAACAACGAAGCAATCACTTTGATTTAAGTAAAATGTTTTAGATATAATTTTTTATATTCTATATTTAAGTAAGTCTTTTAATTTCTTAAAGACAATGTATGGATTAAACTAAGTTTTGCAATTTACTATGGGGAGTTTTGAGTTTCTCTTTTAATAACATACGTTAATATGTACTATAATGTGCAAAGATTTATGAAAGAAAAACTGTTAATCATCGATATGTAGTGACAACTCTTACTAAACAAACTTTACGGTGGCTTACTTACATAAGTAATAACTTGATATTTTCTATTTGAATATCTATTGGAAATTACAACAATTTTTTCTTTAATATTTATTTTATAAAACATTTATTAAGGTAATATTATTACGGAACAGTTTCTGTATATCGGTAAATTAATAGGATGTAGTGAAAACATGTACTGAACAGATAAGTCAAATTGATTGACAGTATTCGTTGTGACGTTAATTTACAAACTGATTCAAAACCGTCATCTTTCATTAAATAACCCATAAACATGTCTTTTTTTCTTAACTTACCATAAGTCCAGCTCGGTCAGCTACAGAATCCTTGTCAACCCCTGTGATGTATATCCCAAGGTTGTACTCCAAACCTCCACGAATCATCAGCCCAAGTGACTGTCCTGGCTCGATACACAAATCCACCTACATAGATAATACAAAGAAGTGAGGACATATTATGTTGTATTTATACAGTTACTTTAAACCTACGACCTCATTTATTAGCCGAAATTAAAATTTTAATTGCTGTACATTATTTTACGTAAGATGCTTATGAGAAAAGTTTTCCTTATATCCAATCTTAGGCGACAGGGTGTACCTAATGACAATAGTTATTTTGCATAAGCGGTGTCGCTACAACTCCTAATGACGCTAATATTGACCATTGACTGGCGATTAGCATACTTACAACATAATGGACCACTCAGAGCATGCTTGTAATGTAAGAACTAAACAATAGAACTGACAATTGGTATCTGTTAAATATTTAAAACATATATTTAACATTACCGAACCGTATATTGGGTTTATTGTCCATAAAAAATACTCGCTTTCCATATGAAAAGGAAGGATTAAAGCCTCAAGATATTGCGTAATGGCACGCACATGACAAAGCAGTCCCTTTTGATACGCAAGCTCTTTTATTTTATTTCGCCTAAAACATGTTTGACGCTTGTAAACAAAACGTGAATGCTGTCGATATCTATTGTCCTCATATTTATAGAACATCATCGCTTTAATTGCTTTTTATTGATAAAAAGAAAAAAACTCTTTGTATATAATAAGATTAAATTAAAACTAATGAAAAAGCCTAGTTACATCCCAAAAACATAGTTTAATTTCAAATTCATGAAAATCTTAGTAAATGTATAAAAATTTATTTCTTTAAAAGTATGTATTCAAATCCAGAATATGTTTATGTAAAACTATTCATAAATGAATCCCTTAGGGCGCACTGACATTGACATGTACTGACATGTGAATAAAGGTATTCGTGAGGTCAATCAAGTATTCTGTCCAAGGTCTCTAATAAGCTCCAGGGAGATGTGACCTACATGTGCCTAATGAAGCTTAAAAGACACTGCTCTAACCCTCCCTACATATCTAAAAGATTTACATTTTCTTTTAGACAAGCGTCTTTAAATTGATATACATATAAGTTTTGTCTCAAGAACTATAATAATACTGCTTTATTTATGTTTAAAAAGTCATGAAACAAATGAAATATGCTTTTTATTTCATATTAGATAAATATAAATATATTTGATTAAATTTATAACTCAAATAACTTCAGTGACTTATTGGAATTTGTATATCATAAAAGTGTAATAAATATCGCTGAACGTTTTCAGACGTATTTTATTCTGTCTTTCGCTTTTCATGTCCGTAATTAAATTTCATCTTGAAAATTCTTTTTGAATTTCTAGCTCATTGGAATAAAGAAAGTATTGAAAGTGGCATTTGTTCTGAAATATATATAATAAAATATTACGATATCCTTGACTTTGAAATAAAATTTATTTCTTTTTTACGATTTTATGAGCACCAAGGATTTAGATATGAGAACTTAATCCAACATAACAATCCGGGTAAGGGTGGCTTATCTCTTACGAGAGATTTTTGGCAGAAATATTTTCTAAGAATATATTCTTGTGCTGGTTTACGAAATATTTAGCATTTTCAGTTGGAAAATATAAACCATTAACATTTAGATTTTCGCTATAAATAAAAATATATATTATACAAGTACTTATTTGAAAAAGAACATACATAAAGTACGTATATGCGCAATATGCGTAGAGTAATCTATTAGGGAGCATTACTGCTTTACAAAATTATCAATAGGTAGTTGATTAACCAGAATATAATCTTTATTTACCCTTCGTATAGAGCGATCCTTGCTTGCAGATCTCAGCGGTCGTTGTGGTGGCGGCGAGGCTGGTCTGCCGTATCGATCCATCCATGAACAGGAAGCCCTACCAACTAACGCACCAGCCGTTCTAACCACCATAGTTAGCTGACGACACGACTTAAGCATCTGAGGACAAATATAAAATAAAAAAAACTGTTCGACATACAATTATCTAAAATGGGTTTAATTTAATTTGAACTGACATGATCTATGGGCTTAATACCAGCAATAATTTTGTAATTAAAATCTGTTAATATTTGTTATTAGTAATCTAGATAATATACTGCAATCGTAACATACAACCTGTGAATAACACGATGCATTACAATTTACAAGCAATTAAACATCACATAGCAAAATTAATTTACACGTCATATAATTACGGAAAATTTATAAAAGTTTATTCAATATTACTTTGATAACTTCAAAGATAAAGAAGAGAAGAATATAGAGAGAGGAACTGCGATTCTACAGGTAAGCGTTTAAATAGTAGCCCTTTAAACCTACACCTGGGCCGCAAGTCCCAGGCGCTGTTGAAGCTCTTTTCCCTGCAAAACGATGGACCCGGCACCCGCAAGGTGAATGTAAAAATTGCTAAGAAGATTTCGTCTCTAACTAAGGTATCTAAGATATTGCAATAAGTATTTTAAAAAATATGTTAAAATTAATTAAATTTTGAAGTTATCTCATCCTAATGGCAATGTTCTAAGTTTAATAATAACAATGCATTGTTAAAGCTACGGACGAGACAAACATGAGACAGTTGATTAATAGCTTGAAGACAACACACCGTACCTTCATCACAATGAAGACCTGCCTTTTTAAACCGTCTTCTTATGGGTTAATGTATTCAGATTAAGGTTTCTATGTAGATACATACACATATACATACTAGGTGTTATTAATTTTCCTTTCTTATATAATATTCTTCATATATTTTATACATGTTTAAATAAAACATGTAAAAAAGATCACCGAAAGTGTTGAAGATTTATATTTTGCGATATATTATTTATTTATTCTTTATTGCACAACATACTAAAAATAAAAAAATACATTTACGTTATACATATATTACTTGCATGATGTGCAACAGGCGGCTATATAGACCATATTTAGTCCAAATTTGTATTTTATATATGTGTAATTGTATTGAATTTAATAATATTTGTTATTGTATGGCACACGCAATATCATTTAATGAATAACGGGCTTCTTTATAATTCAAATTTTACTAAATTTCTCTTTTCATCTCCTATTTTGTTTTGCAAATATTGTATTGCAAATAATGTAATAAAAATATTTAAAAGACAAGATAAAAAATGTTAGTTCTCCATCTTATCAAAGTAAACGTAAAAAATAGGGTTTAATGTTAAAAAAATTAATAACTAACATCTTACATTATGTAAAAGAAGGATATTAGTAACAGAGTAAAATTAAAGGAGAAAATAGAAAGTGAGATTAATTTCATTCTTATTAAATACCGCTTCAAACTTCTAATATAACCATGTCAGATGTTTCTACTGACGTTGAATATTTGAAGCAAAATATAAAAGCTTGTCTGCTCGTGGTTAGGGCTCCGAAATATCTTCATTGAAATTTATGAGGTCTGTTTGTGAATTGCTTAGCCTTGTTTTATCCATTTTGAAACACACCACAAAGATGTTGATTCTCTTGGAATTATTTCTTCATCTTAAACGTAATTATTCCAATCAAGTGTAAAACTTACTCTTATATATTAAACCATTACATAATTGCTATTTAACACCTTTAAACCCTTTTTTAAAATCATGAATTTTTAAATTATAAAGTTTCCAACAAAATTTTAAACTATATTTTAAGGTTCACGTAAATTTTACAGAGCTTTTATCCTCTAACAAAAGTGTCTAATGGAAGCCTCCTAGTCATTGATGGATGTTCGAGTTTTTGTAATCTTTATAGTTCACTTTTATAAAATGTTACATTTTGCCATCACATTATTTAACCAATTATGAATATATGTATTTAGTGTGTAAAAATCTTTTTATTGCAGTTTTTTATTTGTATATTCTATTCTACTACAATTAAATTTTCACATCGATCATACTCGTAAGTAAGTAATTATTTCAAGTTCATATTAGCATACAAATGGCATTAAATTTGACATTTGGCTACATTACATATTGCGATTTTTTTCGGATTGACGTATAATATGAGTGTAATAAAGTCGTGATAGGTAGTGTATGTATTATTAATTTTAAATAATTTTTTGCATTTCCAATGAATGTATTGAAAGCAATATAAACAAATTTTTGATATAAACTGTGAGTCTCTTCAATTCACTACTCGTTCGTTAGCGTCAATATCTTTAAATGGTTACAATTTTTACTTCATACTTCGTATCAATAATATGATCAAATATATAATGACCAACCTTTAATTATTCAAATACACAAAATAACTATTGGGAAAACGGATTCTTCGTTCACTTAATGTACAAAAATAAAGAAATGTATGAGTTTTCTTTGTACACAGATAAAAACTATAAGAAAGTAACACAAAATACTTAAACTGGCATAAAATAGAAATTATGACGGTTTTTAATCATAATTCTAGTGTGTACATAAATCTTTTCCATCGCCTATATCGGATTCTGTGTTATAATTTACTGGCTTTGTTTCTTTGTTCATTTATTTTTAGTCGAACAGCTATTCCACTGAAGCGAGAAATGAAAGACTGGAATTGTCTAACTTTGGTACTGTTTGCCTACAACAAAAACTTACCCACTTGATAGTTGTTTATTCTTCCAATTACTTCTAAGTTCTAAATGTTGTTCTATATAAATGAAAACATCTTGTTCAACACTTAAACGTAGTAATTCAGAAATAAATTCCCCTTATTTTCATTACATTTACTCAGAATATATCCATTTTATCAAAACCTTTTTGTTTTTCATACGACGAGTATGGGAATCATTTTACCAGAGACTTAATGGCTCTCTCGCGGCCTAATATTGAAATAAATAATTTTACAGACGATTAAGGTCATAATATCGACAAACTTTTGCCAGTAAATCATTTATACGGCGGCTATAACAAGTTTTCATATACATAGAAGGCCTAATGTATAAATATACATAAATAAACTTTATTGTAAAAATAACGAAATTTGCCGACTTTTTCCCTTCACGTGCCATTTGCTTTTATGTATCGAGAACTATTGCAATTAAATAGAAGTATTGCAATGTTTATTTCTATTTATATATAGGCAGAAATAAAATGGGATCTTATTAAATAAAGCGGTATAAAATTGATATAAGTTACACAATGTATGCATATTTTTAATAACATTTTCGAACAAAGAAAACTACAAAGGCTTGTCGATTCTCGTTAGCCGTAAAGCGGTTCGGTCACGAAATAATTATGGTGGAAATAAAGGTTTTAATTTTCATATTTAGAAAGCCGAGATTGTTGTTGGTGTTTTATTTACACGGAAGTTATTCGAGGAACAATTAACTATTGATATATTACACGCAGAGCTGGCATCAGTTTATTAAAAAAAATGTATATTAATACTTTTTTGTCTGCTACTTCTTCCACTTGAATATCGGATTTGGACTCAGAGAAAAATGTACAATGAGAGTCAAAATAATAGACATAGTAACCAACAGCAACGACATGTAGTCTACGTGACAAGACTTTGTATAAAACACAACTACCCATGGCTTATTCACATGTATAGCGGTTTCCAAATGGAGTATGACAAATTGTTTTATCAGCTAAAATAAGTATTAACATTTGGAACTATATTATTATGCCTAAATATTTAAATGCTGTCAAAATATTCTACATAATACGTAAAGATTATTTGACAGGTGGAATTTTTTCATATTCATTTCCGTAAGTAATTTCCCACCCTTACGTTTCCGAACGTCATATTAGTATGTCAGCTTCAAGTCCAATTTCCCGAAGAGTAATGAGACGGTTCGATAAAAATATTATAAATATCACCAGATATCCTTTATCAGTTATATTTAGCTTCAACGGGAAAGATCTTAAAGACGATAAATAGAAAAATTCAATTGGTATTAGAAAATAATCAGATAATTAAAATCTTAAATTCAAAGTAAAATTAAAAACTTAAAAGGCACTTACCACATTGAACGATTTATTTTACTATCAAAATATAACTAGATTTTTTTAAATCTTAGTCATTTATAAGTAATCAAAAGAATCTAATCTAATAATCTTTGAAAATATTAAATGATAGTACTATAGATTATGATATTCAGTACTTAGTTTTAATAATAATCATAAATCTTAGCTGTGTTTTAAATTTACATTTAAAATTTCTTTTCAAATTGAAGATAAGTCTTTTGGCGCATGCAGACCGATTCAAAGTGTATTAAAATAGGAATAATTGCTGGAGGTGGGACGCGGTAGAGGAGAAACGCTTGGCGAGCGACTTCACACTTTTAATGATCTCATTTTGATTCTCAAAAACATGCCAGCAACAAGTAAATTACACTCGTTTTAAGAGGCCATTATATAAATTTATAAATCTAAATAATATTTATCAATATGAAACTTTAAAAACATATTTAACAAACATAGAACGTAATTATGAAAACTTAAACAGTTCTATCGTGATGTAATTTTTTTTTAATTTTTCACTTCTTTACTTGAAGTCTATGTAAGTTGCAGATCAAAAACAAAAAAAAAGTACCAACACGAAATACTAAGCCAACAAAAATATGATCCACATATAATTATTTACAGACAAACATAACATAACATAAAAATAATAACATTCCATTAAAATTGACTTGCATCCATAAACATCTGAAAGCATCAATAACACAAGACATTGGTGACATTACCAAGATATATAATTTAACGACGCTCGTGCCCTACCCCAGTAGAAGCTCGTGTCATTGTCATTTGGTTGATTTACAGTAGCTTATAAATATAATTTACTTGTACCACCACAGATAGCAAACGGAAAATGGGACAGGCTAAGGTCAAATGTCAGCCAAAATTGTATTGGTATTGATTTTTCCGAGTCCGAAATAAAACGCGAACGGCACCGATGGAAATCTTAATTGAATATAACGTTTAAAAATACAGACACGATGCAGACATTATTCAATTTATTTGACATATATAAACTTTTTTTTTAATCTGTTACAATCGTTCTACATATGCAAAGAACTTCTTTATCTTACCTTAAGTGCATCCTCATGTGATATTCCAGAGAAGGGCGTCCCATTGACTTGGAGAATAGAATCTCCGGGTCGTAAGCCTGCTCTCTCAGCTACAGAGCCTTCCTCCACTCTCGATATATACACACCCACACCTATTATAAAGTTATACACGATATAAACTATATTTTATACAGGGTGACTGGTGAATTACTATCGATATTTGAGGACGTGATATTTGACGATCATATATGACGAAATAAAAATTAATATAACATAAATATTAATAAACTTCTAAGTAAAGTTAAACAAAAGTTATGTAATTAATTACGCATCGTATGAACACCCTACAGATTAGGTATACACACACACACACACACACTCGCGCGCGGCGGCGTGTTGTTGTATCAGCACGCCGCCGCACGCGTCCACACTTGGAACACTTGGAACGTGTACACACTTTATTTATTTATACGGAAATTTGGTCAAAAATTAAGTACCTATTTTTTTTACATAATTCGAATGAGAATCATGTACCGAGTATCCTCCTTAAATATTGATAGTAATTCACCAGTCACCCTGTATACATACATTTATTCTTTTACTTTTAGTAAAGATATATGTAGAAAGAATTGCATGCATTCTTCATGTTTATTGATAGAAATCAAAGAGTTTTGGATGAAGAGATAAGGATAAATGGAATGTTATTTAATTCATTCGATATATTAGCCGAGTAGAGATTAGTACAGTATAGAGAGGAGTTGATCACTGATTATACGGCTTTGTTTGACCAGCCGAGTGCTATTTATATAGCTCTCGTAGGAACCGGTAATCGATATCAGAAGCTCCGTACTATGTCCACGCAACTACCCTACATTTTAAAATTGTCGACAAAAACTTTACTTAACGTTGAATAAACACATAATTGCATATAAAGTACTTTTAAATAATAATATCTTTGTCAAACTACTTGGTTCATTCATATATATCTCATAAGGATAATAAATAATTTTCAAGCAAAACATTTCCATGTAACAACGATATTTTAAAATCTATTAAATTTTAAATAGGGGTTTGCAATCAGATATTTAATTATTTAACATTAAAAGAAACTAAGATATCCAAAGTAGGTACTTACAAAAATCTTATATTTCTTCAAAAACAAATGCATTATTTGTTCAGTTTTGTAGTAGAATTATTTATACCCTTTAGACTTTACAGACTTGAACGTTTGTCAAAAAATCTGTCACTTATCATTATAAAGTTCATTCAACTGTCCAGTTTTTAGACTGTCACTTTTCAGTTGAAACGTTTATTACCAAAGCGAGTTTCCAAGTCTATTCTTATCATAGAACTAGCTTTTGCCGCGACTTCGTCTGCGTGGAGTAGTGACTTCCGGCAGATTTTTGGTTCTTCCCACATAGTTCCCGTTCTTGCGGGGTTTTCGGAATGGTCGAGTTCCCGTAGAATTTTCAGGATAAAAACCTATGTTTTTTTTATTCACAATGAAGTACTCTTAACCAACAACATATTTATTTGTTTATTTGAATAAAGATTAATATTATTATGTTGATACAACTTAAATTATTTCGACCAAATTGGGTACCATAAAAACGGTTTTTTGTGAGTTAATCTTAAAAGATAGACATATACTGTCCCGGACTGTTTTTTAGATCATTAAAAGAGCTATTATTCTTTAATACATATTTTTTGTGTATCTTGAACCGTTTTCACGGCGCACGCAACGGAAGGCTTCAAAGATGAAATCATTTCTCCCGTTTTTTACGCATTTACCACTATATCTTTGCTCCTATTAGTCGTAGCGTGATGTTATATAGCCCACAGCCTTCCTCGATAACTGGACTATCCAACACAAAAAGAATTATTCAATTCGAACCAGTAGTTTCGGAGATTAGCGCTTTCAAACAAACAAACAAACAAACAAAAAACAAACAAACTCTACAGCTTTATAATATTAGTATAGATAATTATTTCATAAAAAATTTAGAAACCTTTGGAAAAACGGGCTATAAGTTTCAACTATTCTTTTTGTTAATTAATTTAATATTAAAATACCATTGTTACAGAAAGGAGAGAGTTCGAGTGATCCAAACTATTAACTTTCTCAATTCTTGAATAATGCCGGTTTATAAATAAATTATTTTAAAAATAGTAGCGGTATTTCTAAGAGTGCATAATCATTTAATAGTGTTTTAGTAACAATTATAGGATATGTTAAACATCATACCAGCTTCCTTTCCCCCCTTGACGCAGATGCCGAAGCCATGCGAGTCTGCGGGGTCCCTGCTCATGGTGACGGTCCTCGTGGCTGGCTCCGGCGGCGGCGGCGCCCCACCTGATGAATACGGACGCTCCCTCTCCCCGCCACGATATATTGCCTAAGAGACATTACACTTTACTTTTTATCATCATCATCATCATCATCATCGGCCTATTAGAGCCCACTACTGAGCAGAGGCCTCCTCTCACATGGAGAAGATTTGAGCCCTAAGAGACATTATACTTTCATCATCATCATCATCAGCCTATCAGAGCTGCTGAGCTGCTGCTGAGCAAAAGCTTCTCGTCACATGGAGAAGATTTGAGCGTCAATCACCACGCTTGCTTAATATAAGACGAGTTGGCGATTTCAAACTTATAATTTGAAATAAGAAGTCCAGTCCATTTACTTTTGCTTTATCGTAATTTATAAGCATGCCCACTATGGACCAGTTCAGACAAATCATATATTTAAAATATTAAAACATACTTTTAATTTATTTTTTTTTACAAAATAAAGTGACTCAATGTAGTAGACGTATATTTTATCGCGTTCTATATAGTCACAAAATAATAATGTATAATCTCATAGCGGGTATGTATGAGTATTTCTTTGCATAAAAAATACTGTGATATAAAATAAAAAAATACTATGTTAAAATTTGAGGCTGTGATGGCTATTTTTCGCCACAAGATCCCGTGAGATCACTAAAATAGCAGCGCCTATAATATAGGTTGGTGTATAAACTAAAAGTTTTTTTTTCCTTTTAATCTGCGGGAGAAAAAAGTTACTTTCATCATATTTTCGTCCTAAAATCAAAAGTTTCCTATCGATCGCCGTTTTAACAACAGAACAGTCATTTTGAAGATGTCTTAAAGCTTTTATAGCAGGGCCTGCCTTATTTCATTTAAAATACTGCAATACACAATTTCATTTCCATTTAGCTTTCGCAAATATTAAATTAAAATTCAGGATGAGATTCATGTAATTGTTGACTTAAAGCGAGTCAGCATATTGTTACAGAAAATTGTTATTTAAAGTTCGAGCGAGCAATTTCATTTTCTTAACAAATTTAACATGTACGATGTTTGAATAATTCGAATAACTTCTTATATAATATTGTGCTAAGGGAACTGAAGTAATGTATGTACAGATTTAAATAGCTGAGACTTACTCGTATGTAAACAAACTTTTGTTTTATAACACTGAATAACTGTCATTACTTATTCTACACGCGTCATCCCTCTGTTTATCTAATTGACAAATCTTTACTGTCAAGTTCAAAATAAAAAATAAACTGGTTCAATGATTTGATATAGAAGGAATGTTTCACCAATACTTTATTCAAGAATTTATAAAGTTTATCTCAAAGTGATCTTTATTACGTTCAGTATTTTGCAGTTAAATTGTTAGCATTTCAAAAGAATACTTTTGTAAAATCCAAACGTTTACAGAATACGGTCGCCGACTATGCAAATAGAAATTAAATTTGAAAAAATAAGTGTTAGATTTTGTACAATATTGTGGTCTTTTTCCACCAAGACTGGATAGTAACGTAATGATAGAAAAGTAATAGTATTACAATTGCGAATATTGCAACATAAGTAAAATAAAGTAAACCTGCAAGAAAGTGACTTCTAGAATAATGTTCTGAAGAATTTTAAATTTGTTTTCCCAGTCAAACGTTCTCTAAAATTTCCTACTCAGCAATTAAACTGTCTGTGGTTATACTATATTTTTCATTCTTTATAATAATGAAATTTTTTAAACACGTAAAACGTAAAAAAAAAACAAATATCATAATTGTTTTACAAAGGTAATTAATAAACCATGAACTGAACTAGCAAACAGCTCATATCAATAAATTTAAAGAAAATCCCTTTATAATTAATTATTAAGGCACAATACTCAGTCCATAACGCCGAGTAATCGTATGTAGTACACAATATATTATACCTATTGCCTCAATAACATGAATTTAATCCAGACGCTTTAAGTAAATTTAATATAAAGAAGTGAGAAAAACAATATTTTATTTACACTGTGAAGTTTTTATAGTTATAACAGTTTTAGCTGAAATGTTCTAATTTATTTAAATAAAAATAAATAGTATACGATCCAACAAGACTATTAATGTAAAGTTTAGTAAATAGAAGTATTTTTTTCCAAGTTAAGTAAATGGATCTTGGAATTCCTATTAAATCAACAAGTGAGCTAACTTTTATCTTCATTCATCAGGAAGAGTTAAATCGACAGATAGCACTTAGTTCAAAGCATTAGTGCTGGGAAAATGCTGGCTTTACTACGACCTTTCAGTTTAAGTTATTGGATGCTACAGTTTTAAAATCGGAATTTCTCTCTTAGTCTATCGCTGTTTATTAACTATTAAGGAATATGTATAAGTAATAAATTCATATATGTTTTTATAACATTACCTAACTATATGTGTATTTTAGTATATGGAATTAATAGAACTTTTTATTTTACAAGAAAACATAGAGCTAAATTTAAAGCTGGTGAAACTCGAGTGACAAAGCATTTTATTTTAATGAAATGAATAATATTTTGACTGCTTTTAAAGGTGAATTTAATTGAATTACGGTAAGAAATTGTGAAAAGACAGATTCATATATAATAAATGTTATGAACATATGACTATTACCCCATATTTTCCTTTAGAATCCAATTTGAAAACAAAACAGACCACGGCAGTTCACTAAACCGCTCAATACTTAGGCACATCACGCACTGTTTCATTGCCTTTAGACTTTCATAGCTGTTGCTACACTTGTACTTCATACAATATCGATCACGAGACTATTTGTAATGAAAATACATATTTTCCCTTGGAGCACATAGACTTGTAGAACACTTAGGAAACCTGCGTTGAGGGTTATGAATCCAGATCACTAAATACTGATAACGTTACTTTATACCATAATATACAAAAGTAAATTATTACTAATATCTTTAGAATATCCGTAATAAATTCCAATACTATATTAACAATAAAATAGATCAAGCCATATGAAGCAGTTCATTCTACAGTTGTTCCTCGACTGAGCATAAAACGTTAAGTACGTTTTAACTATGGCCATGACATGACAAGCCTAGGAAAGCCACGCCTCCGAACATTTTTATAAACGCACACTGATCATAAATTCACACACACACACTCACACACCTACACACACTCATATAAAAATAAGGACGGATTATTTCTTTTACCCTGATTTTATTAACTTAAAATAAATTCTAAATGTTATATCAATATATAAAAGTCGGTCGCCGCGATCATGAATAAGTTAGTGTTATCGACTGTTCGCCTCAAATTATTTACACACAGCGCGGTCGGACAACACATTGGACTATATTTAGAAAGCTGTTACGATGATTACAAAGCTCTATGTGATATTGCTAGTGTATTAACGCGAGGACTCCGTACCCATAAAACACATTCTCATTGATTATGGAACTGGAATTCATCAATGAAAAACATGTTTATAGCTCCATTAAGATAATTCTTTTACAGTTAACAGTTGATTAAATTATTTTATATCCTATTTACTATTACTGAAGGCAGTTTATAAATAAAATGTTACATCAAACAACGCGATATCCCAAAAGTCAAAAGTTTGAATTCCCACCCCTGAATATAAATTTTCAATTCTGTTATATAAATATTTATATCAAAACTACTTCATGACTATTAATATTGTTAGATTTGATATATGTTGTTGTATTTTAATCCAATCAATTTCTCGTAATAGTAAATGTAATTATAATGAAAGCAAAGTCCGCAGACATACATATGTACGTATGAATACCAAATTATGTGTTCCATAAAGTTGAAATTTCATTGAATCTAGTAATATCAGAAAGTATCAGTGTCACTCATGATAAAGGTTGGCAGATTGAAATTTATTATTTCAATAAGACTTTTATCATCGTAACTATTAATCGTAACTATTGTAGAAAAAGCCAGGCTAAATAGCTGTTTATGACCAGGTGGTTAACAATATGAACTCACAGTCACCCATAATGAAGGCTGGAGGTAAGATTGGAACTACTTCTCTCACTAAGAGTTTTATCATCGTATAAGTCAGACGAAATTTATTGTTTAAAAGGCGATGTTTAACAGCTGTTTATATCCAAGTGGTTACCAATATGAACTCACATGGTGTGTTGTACTGCTAGGGCTGCTAGCAGGTGAGTGCCTCCTAGTCGGTAAGGGTGCAGGTAACTGTGCAGGTAGCGGTGCAGGCGGATGTGACGGCGGTAGAGCCTTGCCTAACGCAGCCGCCCCGCCCTGGCCGAACAAACGAAGCACCTGCTCCGGAGATATTGGCCGTTTCTTACCGTTGGCGCTTAAATGATTCGTACTGTTCCTTAAACTAGTAGCCCCTGTTTGAAAAACGTTGATTTATTATACATGTCCACCTTTTTATGATAAAATGTTTTCTGTATATGTTAGCTACATTTTTAATGAGTTGTAAATATATCTCCGTTTATTACTAGTACACATTTGGTATCTTTTCCATTAAGTCGAGTAGTTTATAAATGTTTGTTTTTATATTTAAATGCTGTTATAATACTCTGCATACGTGTACGAATCATAAAATATTTTTATTTTATTGTATTTTATTGTACACAGAATGACCTAATAAAAATAAAACTCGCATAACAAGGCAATAAAAATAAATAAGGCGATGTAATGACTCTTATAAGGACTCCATGTACCCAACGGAATTTCAGAATAAACTCTGCATTTTTTGTAAATAATTTCCAAACAAATGATCAAATCTTAAGATTTCACCGTCTCTGTATGCAAATTAAAACAATAATAATATATTTTCACACTAATTATGGCTATAATTCAAAAGATATTACTATTAAGCTTTGACGAGTATATATGTAGTTGTTTGTCAAAACAAAAGAAGTCTTTAGAACTGATCATAATGTACGTGAATAATAACCTGCAGTGTTTGCTATAGTAGTAGAACCGAGGTATGGTGTTCTTGACAGTTTCCCCGAGTAGTGGTGTTGAGAGTATGGTGTGTGGTGGCCATGTGAGGAGGCCGGTCGTTCAACAATAGTATAGGATGTGCCCGGCGGTGAATAGTAGACGCCGCCGCGCGCTCTGGCGCGAGCGTCCTCCGCCTCGTAGCTAGTATGCCGGTTGTCCTGCAACCAAGCATACTTTAAAATATCCATCACCCTATATTAGAGTATCAATAATAATCTAAAAATCGAACATACTTTAATGTCAAAGCGACCCGTCAGAGTTATGCAAAGATGGTATAGGGCGAACAAAATTGTTTTGCACCAAGTTAGCGAGAGACCAAAAGGAACGAGTTCCCAATATAATATCCATTCAATTCCCTGCAAAGAAGTATCAGCGACAGCGTGGACACATATCGAAGGATGTTCCGAAGAAAATGTTACCTCTAGGGGTAGGATTAGTAAAATTCTCGCAATCCGTCTTACTCTGCTGAGTTGTAGTGATAGATAGACAGCCGTTGTTTGCACTGATTGTGTCTCGGAGTGCACTAGGCAGTGGCCAGATGACTTGAGGGGTGCATTGATGGAGACCTTATAGCAGTGCGGACGAGTGATTGTCAGAAGGTTCAACAAGGAGGTGGTATAGTCCCTCAAAATCACGGAATCTGAGTATTTCCTGAAACTAGTTGATAATTTTAACAATTGACGATGGTGGGCATTAAAGTTGCCTAAGATTACTAAATCCACGCTGGCATACATCGGGAGAAAAAACTCTATGGCCTATTGGACGTGTCCAGAGAATGATGGACTTTGATGTGATCAATTGAGATATCTACTCGTAGATACAGCTTGAGCTGCAATCCACCACATAATTTATAGGTCCCTATGTAAGAGACTACAAAAAAGTTGACAACAAGTCTCCTCCTTGACGTATAAGCAAGCATCAGACTTGGTAGAAATATGTAGATGCTCACGTCGGCAACTAGGATAATGCAGATAAATGATTGGATAGTTGTGACGCGGTCAGAACTATCTACGTTTTTTGAGAATTTAGTAACTGAATTTCACAACTTTATCTTGCAGAAAATCTTGTATTATCTTCTGAATTGATCTTGTCTCATGCTATGGTGATGAATATTAAATTGTGTACATTACCTGCTGTGAACGCGAATGTCTCGCGAGGTGGTGAGCGGGCGGGTGCTGTGGCGTGGCGGAGCGCCAGCCGTAGCCCTGGGTGTAGGGCGGCGGCCAGCGAGCTCCGAACTCCGCCAGCTCCGAGCCTTCGCCCTCCCCCGACCTCATGCCGGGGGTCGCCTAGCACTCTGTGGACAACATTAACATTATAAATGGATACAATTATGGTGAACTTGAAGTATTACTTTAATCTCTATGAATGAATAAGGACGATTCTTTATATTAAATGATTCATGGGCCCAAACAAGAAAATATGTAACTTATTCTTAAGCCATCGTTTATAAAAATCACAGTCTGCTATATGACTACAATAGAATAATGATGGAATACCATCATTATACTATTATGGTCATTTTAATTATCTAAACTAGTACAATTATTTTTATTACAATGTCTGGTACATTAAGTGTGGATTGAGTTGTGGAAGTTACATTGGGTAATAGACGATAAAAATAACCATTGATACAGTTTTAGAAATTGATTGTTTTATTATAAATTCCTTGTGCTATCTTATATTCTTTTAACATCTATTTCGTTAAAACCTTATTGCACTGTAAACGAGAACTAATTCACCTAGTATATGTGTAGTTGTTGCTAAGTTACATTAAAAACTTTAGTTCCATCTGAAAATTTAAGTAAAATATTAACCTGTAAGACTAACAAATTACAGTTTCCTCTTTGGAAATTCTTGGTTGAAGTTATTCTAGCAAAATAACTACTTGCCTAGGAAGTTTTGAGAAAGAGGAAAGTTATGTACATAAATTGTGGTGAGTTACATTAGTCTACAAAAAATAAATATTAATTTCCAGGACAAGCAGCACCTGAACTCCGAGAACTTATATTTATGGATACATACAACGAAGTTGGGTTGGCCGTTACCAAAAAAATTTATGGATCCGCAGCATTTTCGTTATACAATATTTTCTTTTTCATTATTAGACACAACCTTCAAATACAGTATTAAATTAAAAGAGACTTTGTTATTATAATTAAAAATACTTGTATTGGGTAATCAGCTTGAATTCAAACTTAATTTTATTGAAAATTTAAGCTCTGTATTGATAAGAATAATTTATTGAGGATCAGCATTGAAGAATCAAAATTAGCAATGAGAATAATGATAATATTGAACCTAAATTCTTCTAAATATGATTAAAATTATATTAAAAATAAAACAGTAAGCCTTCCGTACACGTACGCAGTTGTTTAACGACCGACACGTCGTCTTTTTGTTGCCCTGATGAGTTCAACTTTCTTTATTACCAGGGTTATGGACTTGACCTTATCACTAGAAAAAGATTTACGATATTACAGTTCTTCTATTAGACAAAATAATAAAAGTAATACATGTATGTATTTAATAAATAAATGTATTTTAGTCTATATTTCCTATAATTACATACAATGCAATATAACTTTGCCTATTCTATATAAAGACGTAATATATTGACGTCATATACACGCAAACTCCTTACGTATATAATTAAGGTTTGGCGGGGAAATGTATTTCCGAACGATTGTGAAGACTTCCGGAGATTGTAGCCAGACAGGACCGAACTATTTCCGCCATTTACCTCTATCACGGCAACGGTAATTTGTTAAAAGTATTAATTCTAAGAAATATCATGTCATATTCATTGTATTTAGTTGACTCAAAACAAAAGAGAAGCAATGATAGATTAAGAAAATACAAGATAACAAAAAATATATGTTAAATTTTAAGTAGAACTTCACTAAAAATGTTTTTAATACTATTGGAAATATTTTAAAAGAAATAATTTGGATACAGTAATTGAGTTTTTGTTTCTATGTAATCTATATATATAAAAATGGATTGCTGTTCCTTAGTCTCGCTAAAACTCGAGAACAGCTGAACGGATTTGGCTAATTTTAGTCTTGAAATACACCTCGAAGTCCAGGGAAGGTTTAAAAGGTGAGAAAAATTGGAATAATTGCCGGGAAAACCCTAAAAACAGCCCTTTTCTATTTCCCATACAGACGTTTTTTTTGACATTAGACTTGACAACTAACTAATATGTCAATCATTCTGTTCGATTGAAACAGTAGAAATTTAATAAATACCAATACCGGGTTATTGAAGACGGAATAGAGTTCGCCTGGTCAGCTATACCTATATTACTAATGACGAAATTAACGCGGACGAAGTCGCGGGCAAAAACTAGTGTATGATAAAAGTATAATTTTCATATCTGAATTGTAAAATGTTTTACAGTTATATCAAGAGTATACTTTTTATGCCTCTCTGTTATAAAAATCTCGTATCTGTTGATGTTAATTAAAAAATAACAGAACCTACATTTAACATAATTTGTGTCTGTATAATATGAAAAATACTTTAATAGACACAGACTCTAAGAGACCGTGAGTGTATTATAAATCTTTAGATAATTTTGATATTAATAAAAAAAGCTTTATTTAATATAGGCTCCATATTTCGCTATAATTTATTGCATGCCCTATTAATAAATGAATAATTACATAAAAGTAAAGTAAAGTCACTAAATTTATAAACAAAATATTATAATTTTTAGTAATAATTTCCCTTTTTTAATTTTCACACGTATAAAGGTTTTCTAAATTTGTCTATTAACACGTCAAATTTTAGTCATCCTATTTTCTGTAAGAATTTGTTCCGTGAATTTTGTTTTTAAACTAAAACACAAATTGACTGAACGATATTTATAAAAAACACTTCGAAGTCTTTACGTATCTGGCGCGGGGATTATCAATTTAAGTAATACTTGTTTTAAAAGTCAAATGTCAATGAATAAAAGATGTTGTTAGATATAGGTTCCGAAGTATTCGGATTTCCAATTCAACTTGAAAAATTTGTATGTTATTAAATGTTTTCACTACATTTGATACGTGATTGTGACTATACTATATCATTTATTGATTGAAATGTACAATTTAATGTATATTTGGTGATACTTACTACATAGTATTTAGCTACGTATATTGTCACTAAGCAATGAAATAAAATAAATTTAATACCTCTATCTCAAAACGTATTCATATTTTATGGTGGCTCGAATGTGTCTATGTATTTTATTGAGATGAACATAATTTAGAACATTTCACCAAATACACGATGATCCATTGATCATACTGATGAATCCTCGATCCACAACAAAACATCCGCACTGCGGTCTATAAACGTTTACAAAGCGTTAACCGATGTACAACAATCGCTATCACTTTATCAGAGTGTAGTAACAATAATTTAAAATACAACATATTTTAAGAAGACATAAAATACGAACATTTTTACAAGGATATCAAGACTAATATGTCATTGGGCTAACAGAATGTCATTTGTTTTGGAACAATAGACTTAAAGGAATGAAGTTGTATACACAATACGTATAAAATATATATAAAATCTTAATAATATTAATAATTTTAATTAAAAAACAGATACTTTTACTTAAGAAAACAACCATGTAAAGGGAAAAAACATCGTGTCATGTGTAAAAACAAAAAATATAACAATTTTGAATTGTCTAATTGCTGTCAGGTGGACGCCAACAATTGAAATATAAAAAAATTATTGTAGCTTTCCCCACTTAATTAGACATATGTATTTTGATTGACCATAAGTCAAGTTATTAACAACCTTTTAATAAAATATCTAATAACACACATTATATATTGTATTCGAGCAACTATTACGAGTACATCCGATTATATATAAATATTACTAATCAATAATTAACAAGAAACTTTTTAGTAATATAGAAATATAATCCAATATCAGTAATAATTTTCACAATATATATCTTAAAAAGAAATTTCAATATCCTCAAAGATTATAACCGATTAAACTTAAATATGAAACTCGATGAAATTCTAAATAAAAATATATACAAAGTCATGTAAATATAATGTATATGTTATTTTTTAAACTAAACTAACATGACATACACCTTACGTAGGATATTTGCCAAGTGTAGATTCACTGATAATGTTTCATGTTGATAAGCCACGCTAGATCTGGAGCGGCGCCAACCTGACTGTGAGGAACGCTCGCTTGGAACATATTATACACTAATAGTGTTACGTACGTACGTACTGAACTTATTATTATATGTACTCATTTGTTAATACCTTTCATTTATTACACTTCCTTTCATTTATTACATTGCCTTTCATTTATTTCACTTCTATTGTTATAAAAGTATAGTTTAACTTTTGCTTTTGACATATAGATAACTAGAATAACAATAGTTTTAGTAGATCTATACATATAATAAAATTGTAGAAAAGTGCTGTCTGTACATTGAAAATAAAAATAAAAAAAATAGCAGGGGTTATTGTTATGTCGATGTCGAACCCAAAAATGTAATTAACTTTTTTTTTGTCTGTTTGTCTGTTTGCCTGTTCACGCTAATCTTAGAACGGCTGATCCGAGTTGGATGCGGTTTTCACGAATATATTGTGGTATGCTTCAGTTATGCTTTAGTGTTTTTTTTTTGATGTCAATCGGTTCATAAATAAAAAAGTTATGTCAAATTTAAAAAAAAACGCTGCTCATAGTCACTATTCCACGCGAACGAAGTCGCGGGCACAGCTAGTATAAAATATATTGTAGGAAAAGTAAATGAGAAGTAATCAAGTTAATATGTATGGGTGTTATAAGAAATGTATATGTCGTTTGATTAGGAATGTAGTCGGTGACAAAAAAGAGGCTTCATTACTTCATTTCACGTGTAGTTTGTTCCTTTTGTCAGCCTCGTAATGACGATGCTAACTCGCAGTAACAATGGTCCAATAGAATGTAGCTTAATGTGTCATGCTGAGACGTAATCGTGTCAACAAAAATAATATAGTTTTACTAAGAAAAAAATACTGTATTATTCATAAAAATAATTAATTTTCTTTTATTATTTCAGTATATTTTATTATACATCTCGTCTGATGATCACGGTTGCTGAAAAGTAACCGAAACGTCGGGAGTATGTAGTTTTTTACAATAACAAAGCACGCGAAGTATATCCGAAAAATGTTAGTTTCATTTAAATGAATACTAGCCAAAGTCTCAGATCTCATTATCTTGTAATATATGTATTAGAAGTTGTAAGACTTAA